CCACCACCCTGAAGGGAACAAGCCACCCTTTTCCGACTGAGAACCATGGCCTCGGATTTGGAGGTGCTGATTCTCATCCCAACAGGACAACGTCGTCTGCAAAAAGCAGAGACGAGATCCTGTGGTCCCCAAACCGGACTCCCTCTGGCCCCTGGCTGCGCCTAGAAATTCTGTCCATAAAAATAATGAACAGAACCGGTGACAAAGGGCAGCCCTGCCGGAGTCCAACATGCACTGGGCTGCCCTTTGTCACCGGTTCTGTTCATTATTTTTATGGACAGACTGTGAGAATAGTTAGCAATATTTTTTCCATCCAATTTATGCCACTGAGAGAAGACTAAATATTACACTTTTCTACAAGATGCAATGGAGTTAAACTGCTAAAAACAAACCTCCAAATTGATCATAAAGTTGAACATTTTTGAGTGGTTTTAACAAAATATAAACTTTTAATCCTCATGATAGTAAGACTTATTGCAGGGCTGTTGCAGGCTATTACACTACATTTTCTATATCCTTTATGCAATGGTAGTTATTCCTTTAATGTCTCGGGGCAAATTAGGTTATTATGGGTAATGTTATTCTACAAGCAGGAGTGACCTTTATTAAATTTTGTATGATTTTATAGCCTTTGCTGTCAGATACTTAATTCATTAGATGAGCCAACCAGCCTGCCATTGACTGTCACAATATAGCCTATATTGATACAGAAAAATAAAATGACATATGTCTCAATAAAGGGTTGCTAAATACTGTGACACGTGGGCAAACATGCTTACACCAGGTTGTGGGTGTGATACACATTACCGTGTGCATGTAGAAAAATGTCATTTTATTTTTTTATTATTATTATTGTGTGTGTGTGTGTGTGTGTGTGTTTTTACATTTAACATTTTTATGAGCTAAATAGCTCTTTCATGGCACATATTTTGACGTGTGTGTGTGTGTGTGTGTGTGTGTGTGTGTGTGTGTGTAAAAAGGGTCAGCAACGTCTGCATTGCTTAAGGAAAATGGCATATTTTTATTTTGACCGAACCTTAATGAATATGTTTTTATCGAGCTTTTATTGAATCTATTTTATCGTTTTCTCTAGTGTCATGGTTTTGTCAGATAATGTTAAGACAGAGGAAATCCTTGGAGCAAGTAATTAAGTCATCTAGTCACTTGCTTGGGGAGTCACAGTTAGGTTTAGCAGCCCTTTATAGAGTTAAATAGGCTGTAGTAATATATTGTAAGTAATTTTAGGTTTTCTTCAGATGTTTTCTTTCTTTTATGTCTTGATTGGTGGAGCCCTGAGTACTTTTATTATGTTCGGTGTAGGCGCCAGGTTTTATGTTGTGTTGTATTTTATTCTTGTATTTTGTGAATGTGTCAAGGATGTCATTTGATCTGACTGCAAGACAAATTTACCTACGGGTATAAATAAAGTAACCTAACCTTGTATTTGCAGGGAAAACACAGGTTTAATATATTATATAAAAGATGGCTCTGTGTCACTAATTAACCTAGTATGTTATGTCACTTATCCGTGTGTAATACCAGGGCCCTTGAACTTGCATATCTTAATACAATGCAGGCATAATTGTGGTTATTAATTACTTGGGTGCTTCTGCTGGAGCAGTTCCTCAGGGGCCAGGAGTTCAGATTGTTGTTGTACTGGGTAGCTTCCGGGTGTGAATGTGTGTAACTGTGAATGTGATCAGGGCGGTCCTGTAAAAGAGAGGTGGCCTCTCAGATAACCTACCCTGTCTAAATAAAGGTAAAAAGAAGCTATGTTAGGTTTTTTTGGAGCAGCACTTCTGTAGTAGGGATGTTCTGCTCCACCTTTTTTTGCTTCCGATTCCGATATCTGGGATTCAGTATTGGCCGATACAGAGTACCGATCCGATATCTAAGTAAAATTTTTATAAAGTGCTGAATTACCTAATTAACTGTATGCATCCCTGTGCAATGCATTGGGCTCTACATGAACAATGTCATAACACTGTAAAAGAAAATAAACTAACAAATTATTCATTATTAAATTATTAAAGCAGAACCAGAGTGCAAAGAGTAATTTGACATCCAAAAGCAGCTGAATAACACAACAACTTCACTAGCTTGTGCTTGACTTTCAAAATTAAAGTGCAAGGAATTTCACATCCAGTGCAAAAGCAGCTGATAACAACATCAATCAACATTTTTATAATGGTTCAGTTAGTGGGTCAGCTGTTTGTGTTACTTTAGTGCAAAAAAAATGTAACAGCCAACACAGATGAATAAAACACTAGCTTTTTTAGCTTAGTAAAACTGCACATGTAAAAAACAAACAAAAAAAAAAAAACATCTCAATAGTTTAGTCAGTGGAACAATACATTCAAAATCCATTGTAAATTAAACTACGGAAAAATGAATAACTTTACTGACTTTGTAGGCACTCTTTGTTATTCTTTAGTGGCAAAAGAATTTAACATCCTGTTTAACAATGTACTGTATCAAGCTCAGTCTTGAGCATCAGTGGCAGGTTCTTGCTTAGAAAAGCAAGCATCTCGGCTCTCAGCTGTCAGTCTGTTTCACTTTTCATCTAGGATAGAGGAAACTGCTGAAGAGTCTTTTTCACTTTCTACGCTAGTGCAGGGTGCACAGAGGTATTTCAAGGCCACAACAGCAAGGCTAGGAAACCGCTGGCGGTTGACTTCCCAGTATTTGTATGTGTTGTCTGTAACAGAAATTGTTTCCTCTGTAAAAAATGCATGCATTTGGACAGCAGTGCTGGAGCAGCTTGCTGCACCACCAGGTACCTCCTGCTCCTCCCGAATTTTGTCAAATTCTCTCATGAAGCTACTCTCACTTCTGCATGGAGCTTCTCCTGCTTCCGCCCGGGAGGCTTTTTCTGGTGGCTCCAAAATCTCTGATGCTCCATGATCTGTTGTAGAACTCAAGTCTTCCTCCAGTTCTTTGGCCAGTACATCTTTTCCATGCTTTGCGGACTCTGCACTCGTAAAGAATCTGAAAAAGTTAAATTTCTTGTGCACAAGTCACATAGTAGTAGTATATCATAGATATAGCAAATAGTAGCACATTTATCCTTACTTTAAATCTGAAATACAAGTAATATATGTAAAATACATAGTGTACATGTACTATGTTGATTCTATTCTATATCTATTAAATTTTAATTTACATCATAGCATCTTTTTGCAGTCACAGTGTAAGTCTGAGAAAATGACTAATTCAGCTAAATAAGTAGTCAAAGTGTGTGTGTGTGTGTGTGTGTGTATAAGAGAGAATAATTATTAATAGTTTAAGTATATAGTCCTACCTGTCTTTGTATCTTGGGTCCAGCAGAGATGAAAGTGTATACAGAAGTTCATTTTCGACTGTGCTGAAGCGTTTGTCGATGGCTTCTAGGAGGGTTTTTTTTTTAAATAGTTTTTATCCCAGCGTCGGTCTCGGTTTCCATGGAGAGGACTCATTTAAGAACAGTGACACTTGGGATAACATCAGCAGCAGATGCAGTGGCTGAGCTCACCTTCCTAGTAAACTCCTCAAACGGTTCGAGACAGATCTTTGTTTTTTTCAAACAAGGCCCACTGGTTAGCTGTGAGAGTTGTGGGTAGGTTATGGTCAGCAGCATAGGCGGACAGGACTCGTTTCTGTTCCAACAGGCTTGCAATCATGAAGTAGGTGCTATTCCACCTTGTTCTAACGTCTTGCTGGAGGCATTTTGGTTCCACGTTCATCTCAAGCTGGATATCTTGCAGCCGGGAATATGCAAGAGGAGAATGTTTAAAATAGCCCAACAATGAGTCTTCCCGCAGCAATGACATCACTCACGCTGCGTTGTGAGAGAAGTCCCTCGTTAACAACAAGTTGCATCGTATGAGCAACGCAGCCTAAACTGCGCACCCCCATGATGTCCATGGCTCTTTTCATATTATTGGCATTGTCTTGAAGAATAACATGAACTTTGCCAAGCGGAATTTGACACTTGTCAAGTATTTCCCTTAGGGCAGATGCAATCGCGTCGCTGGTGTGTGACCCACGAAAGTTTGTTGCATTTAGCATGGCACTTTGAGGTACAAAATGCATGTCCAACCAGTTAAACTTAAAAGTGACACAGGGGACACTTCAGAGCTCCAAATATCTGTTGTAAAACTCATCGCTTTGACATCCATCTCTTCGGAGATGTGTTTGCACACTTTTCAGTAAAGTTCAGGTAGAGCAGTCTCGGATAAATATTTCCGCTTCACCATGTTGTACCGGGGTTCCAGGTGGTTTATAAGCAGTCTACAACGACGGAAAGCGGCTGCCCATCCAAAACAATGAAGTTCAGTATCATTTCAGTTATTTTTGCTGCTTTCACACTTTCAGGCGGAAATGTCTGTGTTCTTTCCTTTGTCTCTTCCAAAGTTAGTTGCTTCGTTCTGTCTCGCTTTTGTTTGTTCTGCTCGTTGAACTCTGCGTGCTCGTTTGGATGAAATCTCTGTAGATGCTTTATTAAATTTGTAGTGTTGTAATTCGACGTTTTACCGCCACCCCTCAGAACGTTAACCTTGCATATATTACAAACAGTGACGGAACTTATTGGCGTTTCTGTCACAAAGTATCTCCAGATCGCAGATGTTCTGCCTCGTTCCATGCTGTTAGTTTGATCACATGAGGACTGAGCACACCACGTGTGCAAGATGCAACATGCTGTGCAGTCTCAGTGCAGCGTTAACTTGCCTAGAAAAAGTTTTTTCTCAGATCGGGGCAGTTGTCGTCGATACCTGATCTAGAATTTTATTTCATATCGACGCTGATACCCGATACGAATATCGGATCGGAGCATCCCTATTCTGTAGCATAGTATGCTACTGAGTCAGCTGTTTGTTTTTCTTTCATGGGTGTTAATTTTTTCATTATAACACAGTCCAAGGGGACAGTATTAATAAAACTAACAGACAATTTATTCACTAGCTAGCATATTGCCATCTCATATTTATTTTTTTTTTTCTTCTCAGGTCACCTGCTGCCTGGACATGACCATTGTCTGAACTGACACCTGAGGAGTCACAGCAGCAGGATCCTCCATGTCACTCTGAGGAGGAGTTACTCATCCTGAGTACACGTTCGGCCTTTGTGTTTCTTTTGTGTTTTTGCCATGGGAGGAGCTGTGAGTGCTGGGGAGGACAATGACGATCTCATTGATAATCTGAAAGAGGCTCAGTATATTCGCACAGAAAAAGTTGAACAGGCTTTTCGGGCCATAGACCGTGGGGACTACTATCTGGATGGCTACCGGGACAGTGCTTACAAAGACTTGGCATGGAAACATGGCAACATACACCTCTCTGCTCCTTGTATATACTCTGAGGTGATGGAGGCCCTGAAACTGCAGTCAGGACTGTCTTTCCTCAATTTGGGCAGTGGAACCGGATACCTGAGCACAATGGTTGGCCTTATCATAGGTAAGCATGATGTACCCTTTTCCCACAGCTTTTTTGTGTCATAAGGGGGAAGTGGTCAGATATTCTGTATTTAATTGCAAAAACACATTTTAATGGGAAAGTACAGTGTGCCTACAAATTATCATCATTGATATTAGGACTGCAATTGTGAAAGATGGCCATTACAATATACATAAAGCCCAAGGCACTGTCTACAAATTTTGTTTTACCAGGCCAGTAGTCCAATGCCCAAGAAAAGCAGCAAATTTGACAATCTGGAAGACAACATTTACCACTTTACTAGAAAACTAATGATCAGTTAAGATTAACTCAATTGTAAAAATTATTGCTGGCTGATTTTCTTTCAGTTGACATTGATTAAACTTAATTTTTCAGCTGTAGACGATAACATAGTCACTTGGACATGCAATGCAGTGATTGATATAAAGCTAATATTGTTCCTGTTCTTTTCCAAGGACCATTTGGTGTGAACCACGGAGTTGAACTCCATAAGGATGTGGTTGAATATGCCAGAGAGAAACTGGATGATTTCATAAAGAATAGTGACAGCTTTGATAAGTGAGTACATCCTTTAGAGCATTTCATTTTGGGGGCATATGCTGTTTGTTTTTTCTTTTCCCCTATGTGTCCTCTTAAATGTAAGGCTACAGCCAGCAGATGGTTAGCATGGTTTAGCAGAAACTGAGGAGCAGTACTTTGACTCTGCCCTTCCAGCATCTGTAAAGCTCATTAATTAACAAGCTGCATTTTGTTTGTTTAATCTGTACAAAAACTGAATTGTAAAAATGACATTTACGGGGGGGTTATGAGTCAGACTATTTCTCAGCTAGTTCTTTGTCAACCAATGGAGACTATCTATAGCTACTTGTATTTTTTTAACTCTTCATTTTTTGTAATAATTAAACTAGCAAGCTATATTATCAGTGGCAGAGCTTTATATGTTCTGGTATTCAGTGTATTTTTTTACCTTCATACAGAGCCAGTTCAATTTTGACACAAATTTAAACTAACTAGCTGCTAGTTGTAGCCTTATATTTACCAAACATTTGCGGGAGTTATATCAATCTTTGCATTTCCCCAAACGTCAAACTATTCCTTAAAGAAGTAGTGGTTTTGTTGTAGCCACAGCAATAGTTCTATCTACCAGTTTTGCCACTCGGAACCTTAAGACTTTGTATTTCAAATTAAATGCATTTAAATCTGTCTAATTCTGCTCATCTAATTTGCATAAACCTGTCACAGCTGTTACAAATGTGATGCTGAACTTGGAAGCAAGAAAATTCGTTTACCATCTTTGGTTATTATATTTCATGTACTCATGTTTTTTTTTCACAGGTTTGAGTTCTGCGAACCTGTGTTTGTAGTGGGGAATTGCCTTGAAATCTCAACAGACAGTCACCAATATGATCGCATTTATTGTGGCGCTGGAGTGCAGAAGGACCATGAAAATTACATGAAAGTACTGCTCAAAATCGGAGGCATTCTTGTGATGCCTATAGAGGATCAGGTAAGTGCTACACACCAGCAAAATGATACAGAATCAGCACATTATGAAAGTTGGTGCAAAATCTAAAACATTAAGGAAAACAAAGTAAAATAGCTTTGACCTTCAAGACTGATGATGCAACTTTCACATGCATTATTTAGCCACAACTGCCCCTGGATTTGAGCAGCCATGTAAGAAGTACACACAGGGCTGTATAAATAAAAGTTTTATTCAAAATGGTGGACATGTGAGTGTGGCCAGATGATGGGCCATGTTACAGTGTATTCAGGATATTTTGAATCCTGGTGAAGAAAATGGTCAACAGGAAACTTTTTCCAGTAAGGAGAGTACAGACCCTGACAGATTCATGGTCAAGGACTTTGGGCAATTTAAGGGAAGAAATAAAAAAGGAGCTGAAGTGAACTAAACCCTGGCTTGGATTAGATATTGTGACTCAAGGTCTTAATGTTCTATAATATTGGTAGTTATTTCACCAAGGTCTGAGTGTACTCTGAAGTGAGTTCAGAGAGTACAAAGCACTTATTAGAAATCAATCAGGTAGAAGGCATTTGGAAGAAGGGAAAATAGCCCACACACTTATGAATCATGGTGTAGAAATCAATTAAATATAATTTTGATCAGGGGCCTTTGGAAGAGCTAAACACCATGAAAGTACTATAACCCCTGTTCATTTGGATCATGTCTACACTAATGTGAATAATTTTCAAAATACATAATTTTTCTCTTTCACATGGCCTTTCATATGCACCAAGCCAACATCTTCCACCCCTCCACCTCCACCAGAGCTTTTTAAAATGATTCTCCAGAGTGGACAAATAACAAAACCTTGCATACTGTATGATGAGTTTCTTCAAAGACATGGTCAGATATTAATGTAAACTGTAGAAGCAACATTAAGAAACAAATCCCCCTGTTTTCGGGTCAGGGGTCACCTCCACTGTTTTGAGCATATTTCAGCTCCAGGTTGTCACACCCGAACCGCAGGACCATCTGTAAGCCGACTTGGATGAGACAGATGACCAGTGTGTCATCTGCGGACTTCAGGGGTTTGACAGAGGGGTCCCCTGAGGTGTAGTTGTTTGTGTACAGGGAAAACGGCAGCAGGCTCACCTGCTGCTTCCAGTCTGTCAGAAAGGTGTGGGCAGGCACAGTAATTTGGGATTGTTGAGGTCAGATGTTGTATCTTTATACAGCTGACCCAAATAACCAGGACTGGTCAATGTACATGGGAAAGCAAAAACATCTTGGCGGTGTCCTTTGCCCCCTTGGTCCAGCAGAGCAGAGCTGATGGAGAGAAGCCTGACACAGTCCAGCTGCGTAAGTTAACAAAACAAAAAAAAAAACCCTGAGTTTTTTTTGTTTTATTATGCATAACCATTCTTGTAAAGCAGGTAATATTTTCAAAGTGATGTGATTATACTATTCCTAAAGCAATGTTCATTTTGGCATATAAAGCTTGCCCTCCAGCTGTTTCTTCAAGAGTTTTAAAGTTAATTCTGAGACAGTTTGTTCTTTAATGGTCTCACATGTTTATGCTGACCTAGTTGCAATTGTTGGGAGTATTATTAGTTTTGTGGCATATTCTCCTCAAGGATTCTGTCATCTCTTTTTGCCTTCAGCGCCAGTGACTGTCCGCAGCCTTCAGGATCTGTCACGGATCTACATTCGCCGCACACTGAGAAACCTGGCCAATGAGAACAGTCAGGGGAAGGGGATGGTGCAAAGAGTCCCCCACAAACGCAAACGCAGGCGCTGCCGGCGGCGACGCATCAACGCCTATATTTTTGTAGGCAACCAGCTGATTCCCCAAATGGTAGAAAGTGAGGAGGAGGAGGAGGAGCACAATGAAGAAGAACACAAGGAAGTGGAGGAGGAGGAGGAAGAAAGAGACGCTGCCGAAATTGAAATCCTCAAGCAAGTGAACGTGTTGAGAGACCAAATAATGGCTTTACCACTGCCTGAGTCACTGAAAGCATATTTGCTGTATTACAGAGAGAAATGACTGATTCACTTGATATTCATTCTTAACAGGTGCAGCACCTGCTGAAATGCTTTTCTTCACCCTTTTCAGTACAAATGTAGCGTTCTTTCCATTAAATCTGGATGGCAAAACTGCAATGGAAGAGACGTCATAGATAATATTGAAAAATATGATTGTTGTGAGTTGTTAGTTTTTGTTGATATTTTCATTTTATTTGTATATATAAAAAAAAAAACTATGTAATATACTCAAATCTTTTTCTTCAGTGTCTGTCAGTTTAACAAAAAGGAGCATAAGACGCTGAAAGGCAAACAAAGCCTCATCCTCCAATTTTCAGCTCAAGAGTAAGATGCTCTTGCCAATCACGAACACTTGTGTCATTACTCTGAAATATTTCATTTTAGATCAATGGATTTTGTACCTTCCTATTACAGTAGATCATTCAGAGACCTGAATTTTTTTTTCTACAGGGCACCTTTTAATGTAACTTTTTCTACAGGGTGCTGACACACATACACTTCTTTTCCCGCTTTGCGTATGAGTAGCTGATGTCCTCCTTGATATGATAAGGTGTTGTAGGCTTCTCTCTGTGGTGTCCTTTTCATTTTTGAAGCAATGAATATATTAGTTGAAATAATCATCAGAGGTTTAAAATAATGTTGACTCTGATGATGTGTAGTAGTGGTTCACACTTTCATCTTATTTTGGAAGGAACTAGTAACAGGAGATGTTAGTAATGAGTACATGCATGGCTATACTGAACATGTCTTGGGTATTCTGACTGTGCTTCGCATCTTATGACTGGTCACTGGAGGTGATGCTTCAAGTGATCAAGTTTGGAAGGTTATGACAAAAAGGAAATTTTAAAATTCTGCATAGTACTATTTTTTTACAATTTTTCTTAACAGCAATGCAAAATCAGAATAGTTGAGGATTTTAAAAGCCTTTTGTATCCTGGACTGTAGACGTGTCCAACAAAGCACCTTAATCTGCAGCCCTCAAGTGAAAAAAAGATAGCATTTTTAGGCTTGATTTGTATTGTGGACTGAACTTGTAATGTAAATCCTGATTAAGTACAATTTGCTTGCAGAACTTCCCTGATAGTGATGGTTCTTAAGTGCCAGCATACCCCATCACATTAGGATTTCTGTGAGTTTCTGGCACACTAAAATGAACCCAAATGATCATATATTTCTACAGAAACATTCCACACTGAAAAAGAAAACAGCACATCACTGATAGATGTCACTTTTTCTTTATGCGTTATTGTCACAGACTTAGAAATTTCCTTCATTTTGCTTTGAATGCATAATGTAGTACTCCAAAATCTGAGTTGAATGTTGTTGATATTATATTCAATTTAAAAAGTGATATATATATATAGATGGGTATTGTTATCATATGATACAGGTTTAATTTGCATTTGGTTTGTTGTAGCACCCTCTTGCTGTACTGTATCTTGACACTGGGAACTCTGTAGATCAACAATCCACTGCTGTTTGTTAAATAGGTAAGCTATATTAGTGCTATAGGTCTTTCTTTTGTTCTGGTGAATTGAAAAAATGTTTGCAAACAGGGCTCATTATTCTGTCTAGTTATTGTGTGAAGAGGTAATATTGAAAATTGTTTTTAATTCATTGGGAAGCTTTGCAAGTAAGCAATAATGGAATAATTTCTCATCTTATAATTACCAATAGCAAAATAGTCCTATTTGGTTTGGATGTTTATATAATATTATCTGAAATGAAATTGCTAATTAGGGAGCACATTAAGTATTGAAAGCAGGAGACCTACAGCCTCGACTCTCAGGTCACGCCTTGCACCAAAGTTAATGGAACTGCTGTGATTACATTAATGTGGAGGAGATTCGACTACAAAAATGACACCCAGTCAAGCCATAATCAGTTTTGCTCTCTTACATTACGTTAAATTGTCAAGAGCCAAAACAGTCCTGTTACTGTGTATCAGGCCTAGGTTGACCTCTCATACTGTGTGCAGTTTATTTTGAAAATGTGTTTCTTCGTAAAATGTTTGGCACAGAAATAAAGATCACAATCACATTATGCCTCTTCTTATCATTGTAACTGCTCTTTTTTTGGCGTACTATGTCTGTGTTGTTGTTGTTGTTTTTTGCCCAAGTATGTACGTATGTCCAACATGGTAAATCACCATGAAAAGCAGATACAAAGTAGAAACACTAGTGCCAATGTACTGATCTGCTGAAATAAAGCTTGCTTTTACATGATGTTGAGGAATTATGTGATGAAGGATCCGGCCCTCAACACACACACACACTGTATGATATGTAAAATTGGTTGTGCATGTTTTCTTATGTGATTGAAAAATATGCTGTACTTTGATTAACATACAGTACCATTTCTCTGTGTAAGGAATAATAATCATATAACTAGACAAATGCATTTCCTGAAGGAAATGCGTGTGGATGCTGTGTGGGTCTTACTGTGTGACTGTGTGGTACCATGTTAATTTTAATGTTTCTGTTTTAAGCAATTAAAATGTGTGCCTCACCCCCCTTCCCTTGCCAAGCTGTGTTAACCAGTATTTCTGTGGTTAACACCACTGGCATTGGTACAGCAGGTTGGGGTTTGCTTCCCTGTCAGAGCGTGGTCGATATTCCGTGTGGGCCCTTATCAGGGAGATGCTTTTGATCAAACCAAGCACTCCCTTTTCTTTGCTAAGCTGCTTTAACCAATAGCAGAAACCAGTAAAAGTTCTAAATGTGTGCCTGTACAGCAGGTGGATAGCTTGGTGGTTAACACTCTCTGACTTTGGTATGGCAGGTTTGGGTTCGCTTCGCTTTCCTATCAGGGCATGGTCAATATACAGCATGGGCCCTTAGCAGGGAGATGCTTTCCATTTTGACTATAAATAATGGGATGGCTATGTTGGTTATGATTCCTTAGATATAAAATACATTTGACAATGTGTGATAAGCTGCATTCCTTGCCAAAGCAGCTGAAACCTGTAAATACTTACATGTATCTCTGCACAGTATTTATTTTAAACCCCCTCTTTATTAATACTAAATATTAGTAGGTTTAGATTTTATTTAAAAAATAAATGGTAGGAATAAGCCACAGTTTTGCCTAAGACATCTTGCAACTTTTCTTTTTCCTGTTCCTTCTCCTCTGCACACAGTAAGGTTGCCCTTTAGTGGTGGCACACAGCATTACACCAATCTTAACAAGTGTGACCAAGTACTGCCTGCTAGTCAAATGAATGGCAATTTAATGGTACAAATAGTAATGGATGTACATGGTCATAGTTTTTGTGAGCATGCGTAGGAAAGAGTTTACATAAAAGCATTTTTGAACGTGTGAATAAAATCTGTAAACAATTTGTTACACAAAGGCACTGAAAACAAGCGTGTTTGTGAACATCTGTGTACAGACAAAGCAGCAAATTGCACATACAACTCTAGGAGTACTGAGGTTTAGTGTGAATCACACCTGAATCTGATTGGACAGTGACAGTCCTATCACAGAGCAGAGTCAAATCATCCAATCCGGTGGTAGCTGGGTTCTTCTAGTTTCCAGTGGCGGCTCTGTAAGTTTAGTTGTAGTGAAGAATCAAGATGGGCTAGCGGAGCTGCTTTGCTAGTCAGGTGGGTCGCAATTGGGGGGTGGGGTGGGGTGGGAAGTAGTAAACATTTCATGTGTTGTGTTCTGTATGTAGGCAGCAGGCAGGTGCTTCCCTGTTAACACAGTTGTCCAAATTGATCCTTTCTATTCCAGGTGGGATACTTTATCTAGTGTTAGCTGACAGCTAATGTGGGACATTAGCAAACCTCAAGTGTTTATATTCAGAGGCATCTGTATTTTTTTTTTTTTTGTCCTGTCCATTGACATGAGGGTCAGAATATTAGGAACACCTCTGAATATAAAGTAGATCAGTACAACATCATCTTTAACTATGACCTCAATAAGGAACATAATTGAATTTATAACAAGCTCCCCAAAAACATTAAGCTTCCTAAACACAAATGTTATGGCAGAAGTGTTGGATTGAATTGCAGACAAGTGTACAGTGGTCATAATGTTATGCCTGGTGTATGTCAGTGATGAATTTTATAGCAGTAGTTTAAACAATTCTCTCAATTAGGCTTTATAGTAACTCTTTTTCAGTCACTTAAAGCTCAACTTTACTACAGTCAACCTTGTAGAATATTTGTATACTTAAGATGTGCAGTTTTTTTGTTTTGCATGCTTCAGCAGCATGTCCTCCACAGTTTTGTTCTGTAAAGAGAAACTTGTCTATGTTGTGTCTCCCCATACCCAGACTGCACATTCCCGCACAGCCTGCCTTGAAACTACAATGGTCTAGACAACTGGGAAGATTTATTCCTGTCAACCCTCATGAGGACAGTGTTCGTAAAGCCACTTGTGCTCAACTCCAGAGTCAGAGTTTGTTTTTTGTTTTTTTTTTTTGCTTTATTGGCCTGTATAAAACTTCTCCCACACAGATTACCCTCTTTTACATGTGCTGAAATTTTGGGCAAAGATGGAGTACAGTGAAGAATTAAGAGACCTGAAATCTTAAAAGCAGAATCATCCAATGCAAGTTGTAGTCCATTTTGAATATGATCTTGATTTAAACAAAACAGGCTTTTCGGTCCATTCATTAATGAAGACTGGCAGCTGATGGTTTGTCTGGATTTCAATCTAAACAGAGGCTCCGTCTTACAGACGTGGCAGAAAAACTCAATACTCACGTACTTACCTAAAAATGGCTTCTCCATTACAACAAAGAAATCCATGTCAAAGACCAGTGTCTTTGAAACATTGGTGAACTTGTTGAACAAGAAGGTGCCAACGTTAATCCAGTCCAGATATATTCAATATGCAACAACAGCGTTCCCATAAGCCTGGCAGTCAAACTACAGAGTCAGTAGGGGATAGGTGACTAGTTACTGCCAAGTCATGGCAAAATTTCCTAAAAGAAAAGTTTTAACAACTAACTTCATTGTAAAAATGAACATGCTAAAGCAAAACAATAGTGTATCAGAAGACTAACCACACATGGAGCTAGTTAGAGGGCAGACGCCTGGCTCACCTTCAGCCCGAAAGGCTTCTTGCTCACAGAGTTTTACCAACACTACACACTAACATTAATTAAATTCTCACCAACACTAGATAAAGTAACCTACATGAACTTGAAATTAGACATTTATTCAACTGCTTTACCTCAGAGTAAGAGCTAAGCATCTGCATACACACAACACTGCACCTTAAAACTTAATTGCAAAAGAGCTACAGTAGGTCAACCTCATGGTCAGTGAGCCATATGCATCCATGACCCTGTCACCAGTTCACCCTCTGTTCTTCCTCTGACACTATTGGCTTGCTGCCTAATATACCCCACACACTGACAGGTGGCTGTAACGAGCTCATCAGTGTTATTCACTTAACCTGTGAGTGGTCATAATGTTATGTCTAATCGGTGGATATATCAATAGTCAGAATTCGTACTGGTAATGTGAGTTGTACTGCAATTTGCTGCATTCTATGTGTTATTTTCCTACCAACATACATACTTTTTTGCACAATGGTATCTATTTGGTAATCACTTGAATGTGTTAGGTTAACATGCAGTTTTTGTGAAATCAGTCCCCTCATTAAAATGTACATTTATGCAAATTCCTATTACACCATCTACTCTATAAGTATAAAGTTTCTGCTTTGAAATGTTCAAGACTTACTGTGTTCAAGAGCACATCTACTGCAGAGTTACAGACAGCAGCATGAACATAATGTCCCATCCAGGCTACCGTAGTAACAGGACATAAAAAGGCATTATGAAATAAAAACAGACTTTTGAAAAATTGCACTTTGAAATAATAATGTCCATAATCACAATAAAAATAATCCCTAAAAACTCTATTAAGAATCATGAAATACCATTTTAAAATGACTTGAGTTTTAATTTTCTCGAATGATTTCACAAATTGTCTATGCAAATATATATTGTACACAATTAAATCAGGCCCCCCCCGTGACCCCGCTCAGGGAACAAACGGTAGAAAATGAATGAATGAATGAATTTAATCATATGATTATTAATTTCAATGTTGTTTTTAATTATTATTATTATTATTTAACACTATTATTAAACTGTTCTCACCTGTAAACCAACACCAAGTATTTAGGTACTTCCATATTGATACAAACACTTGTTATGCTTGAAAAGAAAGAAGCATAACTCAGTCTTGGCACTGCTGAGCTTTTAGAGATGCGCAGCAACAACAAATAAAACAGACACTGGATTAAAACTGTTTACATCAGGAAAGGTTGAAGAAAGCTGAAGTGTTGGTAAGAGCTGATGGTTATTGTCCCACAGACCCACAGACAAGCGCACAGATCTTGAACCACCGAGATATCCATCTGCTGGATAGGCACACATGTAGATTCTCCTTCCATTATAAAAAATATTGGAAAAAATAGCAGAATATTTCATAAAGTATAGAAGTTACACATACACAAAAAACACGCCATCATGTCCTTAAAAAGACAATTCATTAACTTGTGGTGTCCCTCTAAATCACCAGTGAACCGGTTGCTTGCAGAAACAAAATTATTTTGTGTGTTGACGTGTCAAGACTATGCAGGTTAACATGTCTTAAACACTGGCTGAGCCTGTTGGCTTGCCATAAATCTTAGCATCATGACAGAAAACAGAGCCAAAAATGATATGTTAATTAGTAAATTAGCAAACGGGCCATAATGGACCCATATGAAAGTGGTGTCCATCTTCTTATTTAACTCAGCAATCAATTTAAATCAAAAATCAGATTTGAGAATGATAAAAAGAAAGTCTTTTTAGGTATACTTAGAATATTTTAAGAATTGCTGAAAATATTGAGTAGGCCTAGTCCTCATGAAAAATAAGGTAATAAGCATTAATTGTGTGTAAAATTGGTGGAATACTTATACATTGTCAGAAATAAAATCAACCACAAGTGAGCCTTGTTATAAAAGGTCTCATTTATTAATTTATTACATAGCATATTTGTTAATAAAACCTCAGCAAAAAATAAAACAAACCTCATCCCCCACATCCTCTGTTATAAGAGTATAGGCGACCAAGATCATTTTAAAGGACAAAAGCGTCACTCAGACTTTTCCTTGCATAGACTGCACCCCCATTAGTGTCCCTCAGACACTCAACTTAACAAGCCCGCACAGTATGAAGCACTTTAGGCTGGCCCCATTTAATTTGCTATCCTCTGGAGTTTACTTACCCATGAGCCTCTTGTGTTTGGATTCTACTTTGTAAATGGGAGGTAAGAGCATGACTAATTGCGCTAATTGACCTGAACTCTTTTTTTGAACATGATAGTTTACCTGTCACTCTGCTGCATTTATAAACAGTTTAATACAGGGTGGAGTCTGCGGGGGCATCTCACACCCTAGAAGGCCATAATGCTACATCTTTCTATTGTCTTTTTTCATTTGTCAATGAAAACATTTTATTTTTTTAAAACTGTATTTACAATTTGAGATTTAAAAAAATATTTCAAAAATACAGGATAGCTGAAATGTATTATTTTAAATTGGTCCACAGAGTAAACAATGAAGAGAGCACAAGGTTACGAGTCGTCTACCTGGTCATCTCTGCTGCGCATCAGATTAACAAATGTAGTAATCCTTACAAGTAATCCCTCACCATAATTCATAGTTCTTTGAGATAATTTTAATGTCACTGTTTATTTACATATGTTTTCTTGGGGGAGGGGGGACTCTAAATATCACGTAAGGTGCTTTTAATCATGTTTACAGTGGATTTGTGAGATTGTGGTTGGATGGATGGTGTCATTCATCATCCAGCTAATAAATCTTTCCGTTTCATACAGCCTTGCTATCCAGTAATCCAGGATGTGGTTACTGTGTATTCTGTTTCTCTGCATGTGCTGTACATCACATGCAGAGAAACAGAAATTAGATTACTTAGCATATTCATACACACGCCAATCTTAGACCGTTTCTTCCACCAGTTCTGCCAGTGAGATATGTAATTGCATTTAATCAAAATGTTTTACAAGATTAGATTGATACTAAAATTAAACTTTTAGTTGAGTGCACCATACAGTATATGAGTGAAAAATAAAATTAACCGTTAAGTGAAATACCAATGTACTCTAGGTAAATATCTTCACCTAAAGAACAAAAAAAAGTAAATATAGAAAGCGCCATCATACTACATTATCATACCCAGTGTTGAGAAATATCCTTGTAGAAGTGATCGCCTGATATGAAGAAAGAAGGCTAAAATATATTTTGCTTAAACTCCAAATCTCCAGTAAAATTACACAGAAAAGCAGAGAAATCTAGGCAAAGAACTCCACTGTTCTTTATGATGTGTTGATTATAAGGATGTCTGAGGAGCAAGAGAAGGGCAGTTTCATTTAAAAACATTTTTAATCACACATAGTCTTTTTAATCATCCATAGTCTTTCTGTGAAGTAGAGGTTTGTGTGCAGGTTCACGATTATTCCAGAAATACCAAAAATCTGATGCTGCCGCAAGCAAGTGTATCAATACGAAAGAGGTCTTTATTTCACCAGTGTATACAGCTGTCCTCCACAACTTTTAAAAAGGGGTCTGGAGAGAGCAGCACCTGTCAAGTTGCGTATTTCAGTTTTGGTGTCTGTGAATTACACGAGATACTGGAAAGAGAAGGAATCCCAGTGGTAGTTGCAGTGCCTTGGCTCTCCACAAACATTGGGTCCAGACAAGCAACTTTGGCAGCAAAAAAAGCATGAATACAGTGAAGCACAGCAAAGAGATTTGAGAACTCCAGCTCCTGGAAGAGAACAAAAACATCAATGCTCAAGTTATAGGTTATTTATTTTCCATATAGCTTTGTTGCTTTGTTGAATAATATTTTTTCTTTCGGACATGCAACACTCAACATCTGGCCAAGCTACTTACCTTTGCTTCGATAGATTTGGACTCTTGATTTTGGAATAAAAACTTGATTTTGCTTTTTCCATCATCAGATGATCCTTTTAGTTGGGAGAACTTGTATCTCCACAGTACTGCCTGAGACATAGACATTACAAGGATTATATGAGTCTCACTTTAAACAACATAAATATAACACATACATCTTTATTTAGTGCAATCTGATTTGTGAATTTATTTTTGGGCCACAATTTCATGAATAATGAATGTTTAAAATCCACATGGATCCAGTGAGAAATGGGGCACATCAGCAGACCAAGTTGTTGTGAGGTATAAACTTGTTATTTTTTTGCCACTGGGAAATTTAACAAGCTACAGCAATTTCACCTGATACAGAAGCACTTCAGTGATTCAATTAGTGTTGAACTGACTAAAACAAAAGCACATTGAGCAAGACGGCAGTCAGTTACCAGACCGACTCCTCAGGTTGACAGCTGGCCACGTTGTTCACGAGTGTGTCTGTTCAGTACATACTGTAAAACTGTTCTTGTCTTTATAATAATTACTGTCAGTGTGATTAATTAGAAGTGGTAGAATGCATGTATTTACTGTACATAAGTACAAATTCAAGGTTCTTGTACTTTGAGTATTTCTATTTTATATGACTTTAATTCTGCTGCACTATTTCAGAGGGGAATGTTATTTTTTTTTTATTCTAGTACATTTATCTGACACTATAGTTACTTTTGAGATTACAATTTCATACTCTACTTGTCCAGTAAAAACCATGTATGTCTAAGTTTGGTGAGTTAGAATTTTTCTGATAAACTGAAAGAGTGAGTGTTGCTTAGTGGGTTGAGAAAATCCTCCTACTTAAGCTAAGTAAACTATTTTAAACCCTTCTGGATTAGCCGGTAAATGCATTGTCACAAAGCTGAAACAAAACCTTACCTCATCAGTGGTGGTTCTGACAGGACAGCTACACTATGAACATATGATCTTATATTTTTTTAACCACAGCAGTAAAAAACAACATACACATTTAATGCAACAGTAATATTAATTTAAAATATCCAAATACATGGCCTAATAATATGACACTGACAAGGAAATTTGCAGTAAAATTAGTACTTTGATACTTTAAGTAAATGCTGATAAATTTAATATTGACTTTTCCTTGTAGTGGGCTATTTTAGAGCATGGTATTGCTACTTTTACTTTTTACTGTATTTTCTTCCTCAAACACTTTTAATTAGGGCATAAAAGTAATGTTTATACAAAAAACTTCACTGATCTTTTTAGCAACTACTTTTTAATCAGGTCAGATAATTATGAAACATTATCAGAGTGTAACGTTAAGGATGTTACTTTCTTACTTTGCCTTTAAAAATATGTCTGCCTCTCATTAACCTTGGCACCGGTAATGAAATCTCCATCTCCTTCATGTCAGAGGCACTTTTTCTTTATCATATAATGTTACAGTATATCATGTTCCACATCAAGGACTCCATTTTATTTTATTTCCTCATAAAGGTACACTCTCATGGGTAAAGCCTGGTTTTATTTTTGTGAAAGCTATGTTATTGCAGTTCACTCCAGTTTCCGCTCCTCTGTAACCCCACAGCCTTATTAGATGTGTTCAGGTACCCCTGCCTTGACACCAGCAAGGTGTATTCTCAGGTACCCCTGCCTTGACACCAGCAATCATGTTTTAGGTGTATTCATTTAAATTGGTTATAAAATGGATGGTATTTTGTGCTATTAATTATACTGAAATTGATATTTTTAAGATAATTTTAGGTTTAGTCTCTTTTTTCACTAGGATTGGTAAAGTCATGCTACTACCACTTGAAGGTGAACATTACAACAATGTAATGGATTGTGTTTTGTGTATTTCTCTCTGTAAACCATATGCCAGCAATATTTTTACTGTCCTTGGGGGACAGTGTTGCTTCACATTTCAGGAATTATGGCCAAAATCTCCAAGAACAACATGGCAGCACTTGTGTCCTGCTCATCCACATAATGTGCATCAGTGGAGTAGTCTGCATGGCTCTCGGTCTTGGGGAAAAGCCAAAACGAAATGCAGGCAGGAGTGAGAGGTTTGAACTAGGGGGAACCAGCCGTCAAAACAAATGTGCTCATACTCCCAAAATGCACACAGTGCAGAACAAGTTAGCAGCACCAAAAAAAAAAGAGAAAGAGAGAAGCTGGGCCATCGTGATTAGTTTCATTGCACTACATACAACACTGCTGTCTGAAATGTCCCACTGAAAGGATCTGTCCTCCATATTTTTATTGATGATAAAGAACTGGTTGAAACTCACCTTTGAAGCTGCATCAAAACACACAAAGCCCATGCTGAAGTCAACCGTAAGACCCATAAGGTGGCTCTCCATGATACAGGCATATGTTTTACACTACAGAACAGGAGAACAAGATGTTACCCAAAAGGACACAAAAGCCTCTTTTGCTCTGCTGACAGCATCATATGAGCATTATTTATCTTTGCACTAAAACGGCCAAGCTGGAACCACATGCTAGACTGAAATCATCAAAATTCTCTGCACATAGTGTTCAGGGGGTGACCTGTATCCTCTCCACCTCCAGGAAAGTTGCCATCTGAAAAGCCTTTTCCCAGATGAGCAGCTCGCACTCCAGCTCCACGCTGAAGAACATGTCCTCCCCGCTCTCTGTCTGGACACTGAAGCAGTGCTTCCTCTTGTCCAAAAGGTCATTATCCTAAGATAAGACATTACGACTGCCATGTTGATGAGGTGCAGATGGGAAAGTGACGTGGAAATAAGACTAAGCAACAGCAATGCAGTTTCCTGAAGCTAAAGGGAGGTTTATCTCACACTGACAGAGTAAGACGGCATTCTGCAGATTTATGGGTACTTGAATTCTTATTTCCTATATCCTCGACACTTGCATCAATATAATGCATTCTGAACAAAACTATGTTTTACTACAATGTTACTTTAGGCAATATTTATAGATAATGAATTACAGATACATTTTCATAGTCCAATTCAAGTGACCTCAAACCTGCAGAAAATGAACAAAGCAACCTAAACCTCGTCTTTGCAAGGGTTGAAGAATAACACATTCAAATAAGGAAGTAAAAACAGACAGGTAACAAATGAAAAGAAAAAACAACAAAGTGTGTCAGTAAGGTGCCACCACAACAGCTTTAGTGCACCTTGGCACTAACCCTACATGTCTTTGAACTCGACTGGATGAATGAACACCATTCTTCCAAAAGATATTCCCTCATCTGGTGTTTTGATCATGGTGGTGGAGAGCACTATATAACATGTGGCCCAAAATCTCCCATAGCTTTTGATCTGGTGACTGTGAAGGCCCATAGCATTTGATTCACACCATTTTCATCCTCTTCAAACCTTTCCGTGACCCATTTTGTACTATGGATGGGGGCACTGTCATCCTGGAAGAGATCACTCATTTATTCAGGTTTTTCCTTTAATTTGACACCCACCTGTAAGTGCATTCTTCAGAGTCTGCTTTCTACTTTAAACTGTCTCAGTGTATCTACTGTTGCTTCTCTAAATGTTCAAGGAATGAATAAAAAAAAGCCATCTTTACCTTTAAAATCTTGCACATTATTTCATACACAGTAAAGCTTTTCTCTGCTCGGGTCCAGTCCCACGTTGTCACCTGAAAATGTCACATACACATTGTATTGGATTTGGAAAACAACTCTACAGTATGAAAGGGAAAGAAAGCAGAAGAAATTGGAAATCACGGTTCCTGTGTGCTAAACCCTGCCCCCTTTAATTCACAGCTCTACACCTGTAGAGCTTTCCATTTTACTATGCGAAATCCGCAATGATTTTTGAAAGCACAGACCATCAGTATCACAAAGTAAATAAAAGCAGGCTGCTCGAAGTAAATCTAGGCAACAACCCTGGCTTTTTTGTGAGCAGCATTTACCTGCTGTAGCTAGACAATATAAACAACACTAACACTAATGCTAAAATTCAGTGAGTTGGTTGATGATCCATATGGAAGATGTGGAAATTACAAGTGTTCTGTGGAATTTTGTTGTAAACAAGCACAATTTGACTCCAGTGGCTCACTAACTGTGTGTGTGCTGAGCTCTAACAAATGTAGAATGTATTTCTTTCCTCATAAAGTGTTTGCAAAGACAACATTTTGAAGTGTTTTAAATCCAGCGTTGTTAATATCAAGTCCATACTAAGCAAAACATCTTCCCAACTTTTGTTGGCACACTGTAGCCAATCTTGGCATATTATAGCCACCACTGGAATAATTTGAAGCCACTGGCAGGGGATAAATGAAACTGGGGTCCAGTCATTAAAAACTACTTCACAGTGCTACTAGAGGTCAAAAGCTCCAGGGGGGGATCTTTAACGAAGAACATGTATATATTTTCAAACGACAAAGGACTTTGAGGATGAGGACTAACCAGCGAGTTTTACACATTTTATGCCATCTAATGTAATGTAAGTTTGGCTGGAGTTGCTGGACTATTAACTTCCTCAGACCAGAGCCTCGTAAAATTTGACATACAAACAAATGTCTTACGATAGAGCAGATAAACCCATTCCTTTTGTGCAGTAGTGAAAAAAGTACTCAGATTGTTTATGCAAATAAAAGTAGTGATAATTGTAAAAATACTCTGTTACAAGTAAGTCCTGCATTCAAGATGTTACTTTAGTAAAAGTACAAATGTATTAGCATCAAAACTACTTTAGGTACTAAAAGTAAAAGTACTCATTCTGCAAAACAGCACATTATACATGAATGAATATTTTTGGGCTATAATTATCGTGTACATTTAATGTTGCAGCCTGTAAAGGCTAACGTTAACTACCTTATAACTTTACATACTGTTGGGTAATTTATGAATTTCCCACCAGGGATCAAAAAAAGTCTTATGGTTATACCACTTTGTTTTATTCATCTCATTCTGAAAAGTAACTGCTAACTAAAGTTATCAAATAACTAAGGTGAGTAAAAAGTATTATATTTTTTTCTTAAACATAGTGAAGTTGAAGCAAGAAGTAGCAGAAAATGAAAATATTCAGAGATACCTCAAAAAGCTTTTGTGTTTTTGGTTGTAAAAAAGGTACCACCCAAGCTGAATATGGCTCTTACTACAAACCTAGGCACATCACATCAACATGTACAGAAATCCAAAGCCTCGTTCCTAGTCACAGTTGCTAAGCTGTGCTTGGACAGTCGATGTTTCGGGCACGGTTTAGTGATGAATGGCTGCTGAATTCAAAACTGTCATCTCGCCACTTGAGGGGAAATATTTCTCATGGGTTACTGGTGTTCTGTAATAAAGAAGCTTATCTTGACGTCTGAACAAGCAGGCTCCTATATTCCACCATCCACTAATATTAGCATATTCCATTTATATCAGCACATTCAAGTTGAGCAGGCAATTGCAGTTATCTATCAATCTTCTCCCATCTCCAGTGCCATTGACAGCTTACCCTCTTGTCATAATCACTTAAGTCACTGGCAGAATGTAAACAAATTTAATGATCGTCATCAATCAGGAGGAAGATCAATGCAGCACAAATGATCATGAGTAAGCCGCTTCCTGTTATCCAGTAGGAAAACGTTTTCTCCATGAACAATACATTAACATCAAATGAAAAATCCCCTTTGGATTTGAGCAACATCGATTAAAACACACAGCGTTATGGTTTAAAGAAGAAGTTGGTGTAAAACAAATAAAGATTGAAAAACTTACAGGAGGTGCTGAAAACTTGAAGAGTGAGGAACCCCTCAAAGCAAGGAACTTTGGTGAATACATTCGGTCCTGAACGGAGTCCTGCTCCTTCTCATCGACCCAGCCCATGTAGATAATCTATCAGAGGGTTTAAGAAGCAAAAGTGGCAGAAAGGAAAAATTATCTTAGAAAAAAAAAAAAAAAAAGAGGTTAGACCAACACAGAGAAAAAGAAAAAGAAAGCAAAGCATCTGAGACACAATTTTAGACACCATCACTGCTTATTGACATCAGGGTGATTGCAACCCAAGTAAAATGTTTGCTTTTCTGTTTGGAGTTCTTTGATGGATTTGCAAAACAAGCGAGTGAAAGCTTTGGGACAAGCAGTACCGTCTCATGCTGTTAAATTTCTTAAATGAATTGTCGAGTGAATTCACACGTCTCCATGAGGTCAAAACCAGAATAAATAAGTAAGGACTCATCGTGTTTAGACTGAAAGATGACACCGAGTTAACTGACTGAAGGCACTTAAGTTGTTTTCTGATCATCTCTCAGTGGATGGGCTTTAATGATGCAAACACTCTCTTCGTGTTGCAATAGCTGGTAAGATGGAACTGAATTCGTTCTCTGACTGCCTGCCCTGGTTAGATGTCAAATTTTTAAGATACAAAATAAATTACATTAAGTCCAGGAAAACGAAAATCTCAACAAGCAGCAGGAGCTCAGCTGCAGCATGAAGAAAACTACTCACCTGCTGGTTAACTGGAAAATTTCGGTTAATCTTCTTTACCTGTTAAATTGAACAAAAACATCAATAATTCATTAAATTATCTTCTGATAACAATCAGGCGCCAATTACTGGCAGAATTTAAAAGACTTTCAGGACAATCCATCTAAGAACAAATAAGTATCCACACTAGCACATTAAACACAGCAGTGAAGAACCACTATTGGAGCTACTTCGTTTATTCAATGCATGCAAATTACAAAAAGGGACAGATAGAGTCATTTCCACAAGGACCCGAGGCTCTTCCAAAAAAAAAAAAATCCATTTAAAAAAAGTCCATTCTCTCTGCGGTAATAAAAGCAAGGGAAACTATGGAGAGAGCAGTCACCCTTTAAATTAAAACATTCTGCTCAGATCACAGGTATCACTGGCTTCTAATCCACACTATACTATCAATATCACTCTTCCCTAGGAGCTGAACACCAAATTAAGCTGTCCAGATCAGCTTCCATCCCCCTATAAAGGCGAGATCAAGCCACAGCTGCTTATTGTGAAATGTTACTGAAGTCTGGGCCAAGGGAGAAACAGGATGTTTTTTCAGAGGAGGGACTGAAAAGGAAACAGGCAGATAACTGTCAAGATGTGAGCTGTGGGGTTTTGGTACATGAGAGCCAGTGACAGCGGGTTTATTCTGATTCAGCCGTGGGTTGTTGTGACAGGTCACAGTGACTGCAGGTCTAACCCACCTCTGACTCAAATTAGGATGTTCAATTTGTTAAGTTACAAAAGAAATCACGTTCCTTTCACTATATGTCCAAGAATACATAGTGGGGAACTGGCTGGAGTTCACCTACCACCTTCTCAAGTGTTGTGCTTGAATAATATTATAGATGCTGGTGCTTCACTTTGGCATTTTCACTTTGGGAGACTTTAGAGGAAACACTTCAGAGGGAAATGCTGCATTTTTTGTTTTACTTTTTTATGTAACAGTTGTAAATACTGTAAAATAAATGCGCCTTTGTGTGCAACTGTTTTCATTGCTTATACAACCACATTGCTGTTAAAGTATATAATCACGTTTTTTTTTTTTTAGCCTGACTTAAAACAACAGTCCAGGGCTCTGATGAAGGTTAAAACACTCTGCACACAAACGATCTATCGCTTTATGTAAAGCTAATGTGAGGGTTCGGCAGTACAAGTTAGTCAGTTCACATGGGTGTCTTTCAGAGTTACAGCCATCCTTCTTTATGTTTCCACAGAGAGCGTGTTGAGTTGCAGGGAGGACAGTAACACAAAGAGGAAATGTTATACTAAAAAGGCTGTAACTTTGAAAGACATGCACTTGATTCGACAAATTGCACTTGAAGCCTCATACAGCATTACCTTCAGACAAACATGTGAACACTTATCACTTACACTGAAACACATCAGGGACATTTTAATCGGTAGTGTGAACAGGAGGAATGACACCGAGCCAAACACATTTTGTTCTTATGGATACCTGACTACTCTCAGAAGATGGCCTTGAAAATCTTCCTTGTCTACCGTTTTATTATCTCTGCTGCTCTCAGTGTGATGCACCTTTTAATACGGTTTCATACGGTTTTTTTTTAACCATTCACCAGGCACCACTTTGGCTTCAGGGTCAAGATATTGACCATGTATCGCAACAACTATGGTTTGAGTCCTGCTGGGGACCTTTGTTGCATCTCTCCATTTATTATCATCTCACTAGTGGTTCAGTCTTAAAATGCATGCAAGCCCCCCCAAAATATATATAGCCTATATTTCTATTCTTGTAATTTGTGGCATTTAATACAGTAACACTGATGAACTGTCCTGTACATTTTCTTTTAGTTTACATGAATATAATGAAAATTAACCTATCTGTAGTTTTTTTATTTATACCTTGCACTTTTCATTCATGTGTTGAATTGTCAAAAGAGTTAGAAAAGCAGAAATCTGGTTAACTCTGGTCTGTAGTAAAGCTAAATTTCATTTCATCTGTATTTTTCACGGTTGGAATTACAAATACTGTACACTTGAACCGAGAATTCCATCCATCCATCCATCCATTTTCCTCCGCTTATCCGGGACCGGGTCGCAGGGGCAACAGTCTAAGCAAAGACGCCCAGACTTCCCTCTCTCCAGACACTTCCTCCAGCTCCTCCAGGGGAATCCCGAGGCGTTCCCAGCCCAGCCGAGAGGCATAGTCCCTCCAGCGTGAACCGAAAATTGAAAATGCATTTTCTCCAGTATTTAATCCATTGTCTTGTTTAGTGCAGAGTTCTACTAACATTGTTGTTGACACATCCCAATTAGTAAATGACTATGTAACATAATGATATTTTATTTTTGTTATTCTCTGCAAACCTACAGTAAAAAAAAAATATTTGAACAAGTTTATGGGGTGACAATGTAACATCTATCCAGGGGCCACACATGAAATTTTGCTTTTTTGGTCAATTCTGGCACTGCAGTATCTATTACTGTGCACTGTCCTTGTTATATAAGCCATTAAATAAATATTGTACATTTGCAAGATTTATTAAAACTGACAAACCACTTCCACTTTTTTTAAAGTGCTTTACTATTAAAAATTGAGTATATTTAACTGCTAATACTTGTTTTAGTTAAGTAAATTCCACCTACACTTCAGCTGAGCTCCATGGGGGCCAAGGAGTCAGGTGTCACTGATGGTAAGAGCACCAGTGGGAAAGACAAACTTGCAATTATTTAATATTTTGAGATGACTCAGAAATAATTATGGCACTTACTGTACCAAATATGCAAAGCACGCTGACAGGGACAAACCTAACTGTACTACTGCTAAAGGTCATTTTAGTACAACCTTGGAAATTTCCACAGAATTGATTCAGCACCTCTGAGCCAGAGTCTCAGCAGAAACTGTTCAGCATGAGATTTGCTGTAGAAAAAGCTGGAAACCTAAAGCAGAGCTGCAATTCAGAATGCTCTTGTAAACAAAAAAAAAAAAAAGTGTTGAGTCATTAGATATGAGTCATACTTTAACCTAATTTCTACATCAGATCTGACTCACAATCACATTTGAAGAAAGCCCAAGAAGCCTACAGTATCCGCAGCTCTGCCGTGTAGCCAGCTAGTGGGAGTCGTTAGGGCCAATGGAGCAAATGCTTCCCTTCATAATGTTCCCACATTCCCTTCAATGATGCTTTCAAAATGCACTGTTAAACAAATTCAATAGTAGATTCATGAACAGCGGATGGCCTCCCCAGTCACCAGACCTGAACATCACTGAACCTTTATGGGAGTCTGAGGAGCACAGAAACAGAGTGGATTCCCTCCTCCTCCATCATCACTCAGAGAACCGCAGGCGGTTTTTCATGATGAATGGGACAATATTTGACCACAAACAGCTCAGTTCAACGGTCTGACAGCAAGCAAAAAAAGACTGAAGATGTTCTGTAAGCAAAGGATGACCCCACTATTAATTACAGTAATTTTATTAGGTTTTCAGATGTTGGCCTTGTTTATGTTCAGTGCTTGTACATCTCATTTGCAAGGTTTCCAAGTAGGGCCCATTAATTAGCATTTTTTTTAAAAGCCCTGTCTTGAAAAAAATTGTGAAAATGTGATTATACAACTCTCCCAAGTACATTCTCTGGTTTTATAGCTTCTTTTTTAAAGGTCTTTGGGGGGCTCATCTGCAGTAGAATGAACCAATAAATAAATGGCTTTATTTGTCCCAATTGGTTGTAGAGCAGTGAAATAAAAACACAAATTCATAAACATACTATATAAATAAATAAAATCCATGAGATAATCTAGCCTTCTAAAAAGTATACTCAAAAATATTGAAACTATCAGCGAGGGATCTGCCATCATATTGAGCCTAAGACATGCATTAATTTACATTCGCTCATTCAGCAGAAATCTGTGTCTCCTATATTCATCCAGGTTACTAACACACTCTCTGCACACCTCAAGTAAACAGCAAGAAATACACTCTCAAATGTTGAGGCTGTTCAGACAGTGAGTCAGTGTTATGTTTAGTACATCCCTCAGTTCGTCCACTCCAATTAACGAGGGCTCCATTATTCCCCAGACACACACACACACACACACACACACACAGCCACACAAATATACAAATGATAATTACAAATTCCTATGTTTCACTGCTGCTCGCTCCATGTTGTAATCATGAGAAGTGGAGAGCCAGCTCACTGTCTGCTTCTTTCTAGATCTTTCTAGAAATGTGAATTATATATTCCTGAATGGAAATAGATACAAAAACATCAAAATACACTGATAAGTGTGTCAAAATGAGACCCTTTTTGTATGAGCCACCACACACGATGGAGCTTGTTAGCAGTATTTGTATTCGACTCCCCTGCTGAGCATCATCACCCATCTGGAAACAGAGAAATACACTTCTTTTTTTCCCACATCAGCTGTTGTAGAGCTTGGAAATATGTTCACAGTAAATGAAAGAAAACAGCATCATTATTTCTTTGGTTCTTGGTGCCTCTTGGTATCGTCATTGCATAATATATTATGATGAAGTATCAATAATATGGGTGTATTGGGAGGGAGTGGTACAGTGTTAGTGCTGTTGTTGTGACCTTGGGCTCTTAGAAATAAGGGTGTACCTCACTCAGTGTGAAAAGACATCAGTACTGCATGTCTACTTAACACCATGACATTTGCAAAGGACTGTTAGACAGGCCACAAATTGAAAGTCTGTGCATTAACATCCAGCCCAATATCTTATTGCTTTCTGTGAGGGACTGCGAGAGGCGGCAGAGCCAACACGTATTATTGTTTCGTACTCACATTGTACTTGGTGAGGCTGGAAATGTTGCTCGCTATTGCCTGAAGCCAGTCCAAGCAGTCTTCTGCTGTGGGAAACTGTATAACTCCACTGCAAACGCCGTCCACAGCTATAACCTGGAAAGCATTTTTCCTGAAAGAATCAAGAACAGGGGGTGAATTTTGTTTTTTGTTTTTTTTTGCTTTAGTCTATTTTCCCCTAATGTTTCAGGAAGCCAACACCGCTTTTATAAATTACCGTATGATGGCAGAAAATAAACCTTGTAGGAAAAACATGTCTTAAGAAGAATAATATGAACTATTTGTTGCATTAGCAAATCTAAAATTTGGGATGTAATAGCATCTTCAAAGAAAGAGTTCAGCCTTTTGGGAAACAATTACTTTTTTCTTGCTGGGAGATGGAAAAGAAAACCAGTGCCAGTCTCACATGTGTGCATTCAGAATGGTGGTGGAGGTACCATTAGCTTGGCTTAGCATAAAGACTGGAAACAAGTGGAAATGGCTAGTGTAGAATACACCTACTGAGCATGTTGCATCTTGTTTGTTTAAAATGTATACAAACATAAATGTTTGTGATTTTAGGGGGTGTTAACAGTTTATCCACCTCTGTGCTGCATGTCAACACCTAATCTCGCTAAAATAACTATGTGTGAATGAGTGAGCCTTAAGAAGTGCTGCTAAGTGTATTTCTGAACTTAAGACAGAGCCGGGCTGTTCCCCTGCTTCTAGCCTCTATGCTAAGCTAACATTTCCTCACTCTAGCTGAACCCAACATACAGACAAAAGAGTTGTATCCATCTTCACTGTAACTTTCAGCAAGAAAACAAACAAATGTTTAACTATTCTTATAAACATACCAACAAATCAGAATCAGCTTTATTGGCCCGGTGTGATGGACACAGGAGGAATTTGACTCTGGTACACTGGCTTTCAATGTGCATGTGCAGTGTTCTTTGTTTTGGCAAAATCAAAAATATCATGATAAAGCTGACAAAATATTAACTCTGCCGCCTCTGGCCTCTGGTGAGAAGTCTAAAGTGCACATTAATCTCAATTCTGTTGTTAAATAAACAGAACAACAATCCTGTAATATGGCTAATCTAAAAATGATGGCATTTATATGCAATGTTCAGTTAATGGGCTAAAACATACCAAACCACAAGAGTGGTTCATTAAGAGCAAATGCAGATTACCGTTTCTGTCATCCACAGCGTAGCAAACTGAAAATATATACATTAACAGCTCATTATGTACCTCAAGTATCCACTATTCAGTAGGTCTGTCCTATAGTACTGTAGATGCACAGAACTAGTGCAAGTCAAATTTAATGCAGAATTGTTTTGTTTTTTTAACCTGGGGTAAAGGGATATGCTAAATACAGTAGCTGCAAGCATATTGTCACAGAAGGAGAATGGAAGGCTTGGTGATATGAAAACCTGCCAGTATTTATATTAGTTAAGAGATTTCAGCACTACCGTCCTGTAGAGTCTCACAGGCAGACAGGAGCTCTGCAAGACGGAAGTGGCACCAGTGACCTAAGATGAAATCCTGCAATTTACCTGCAGACATCAGATCCTGGGATGTACTGTGACAGGCGTGAGTGTAGGAGTGGTATAAGGCGCAGGTCCACCCATCTCTTCTCCCAACGAAGCCCTGGGGACGTGGGCCAGGATGAGCAGGAAAGTGTATCCTATAAAAGTGCGGAACATAATTTAGAAAAGCTTGTCATTTCCCACCTCACACATTTCAAACAACTGACGTGTCAAGAGCCTGAGCCCTGCTGCTGCTGTTTTTGCCTGTGCATAGGCAGGCCAAGCAAGCGCAAGCTGCAGAGGACAGCTGGTTTACCCTCCTCAACAGATAAAGACAGAGCATATAGACAAGACAAGCAGTGACAGTTGCATGGAAACAACGTTCTGGCAGCGGGAAAGCTGCTACATGGTTACAGAGGGACAGTTACTGTACAGAATCAATCAGGCAAAAAAAAAAGCAATGAAAAAAAAAAGTACCGTGTTGTTAGGATGGTAGTTCAAGTGCAGGCCGCTATCACACAGAGGTGAAGAGGTCCCACTACTCTGGTCGCTGGGAATGCCTGAAAGTGCAGCAGACACACACACACACACACACACACACACAAAACCCAATAAACCCTCCAAACTCAGAAATACAACCATATATTTTGGGAATCACACTCATCAACAAAACTGTCTTACTCTGTTCTTCTTGTATACTACTGCTCTGTGCCAACTTGTATTCAGCTGACCAGTTTGATGGCCAGTCACCCTGGTCTCTATATGCGCATATGAAAGGATACTATGAAAGCTTTCATGTTTGATGATGGGCTGAAGCTTTCTTGTGCAAGACAAATCAATTGCACCACAAAAGGCACTGTCTTTCAGTTTACTCTTGTAAGGCTTGAGATGTGTCCTTTCCTCTTTTCCCTATCTTTAGCAGAGCACGATCTTCATTTAGCAAGTCTAAAAGAAAGGGCAGCAGCTGAAATGATATTTCTTCAAAGTGCTCTTAAGACTTGAGGTGATTGTCACCAGGACAACCAGTCCTAGATAGAAAATAATACCTGCTATAAATACTCTTGGCTAATTATTTTCCACAGCAGTAACAGTGATAATATGCTTTAATTAAAGAGCGTCTGCAGAGGTTTCTTACATGTGCAGTCCTCACAAAGGGGCAGTTTCAGGAAGGCTGGAGTCTTCTTTAAGAAAGACACGGTCAAAGTCACTTCTTCACCAGCGTTTCTCAAAACCTGGACCTTAAAAGTAAAAGCATGAGAACATTTTTTACTGCAGGAGCTGTAAACTGGGAGGCTTTCTGCTGATTGCTTGCTGTGATCAAACATGCTGTGCCAATATCTAGCTAAAAATGGAAATCCAAGATAAGCGATTTACACAGTGCTCCTTCCACATATTTCTTGCAGTCACATGGAAGAAACAAAAATTGGCTTTGCATGTCAAAAAGATACAAATCATAAAGTGAGACAAGATAAGCTGTTGCAGTGTAAGACAATATGAGATATGAGCCGACAGCTTACCACTTCCTCGTGGCGATAGCTTCTAACATTTATTCCATTTATCTAGAAACAACAGTAACAGGGTTATCCTAAATAATACTGCTGGCATCATATCACTGCAGTTCTGTTTTCAAAATGATTAATGAAGCAAGCACAATAACTGTTATGGCATCTGCTCTGAAAACTGTAAACGAGTGTGTCACATCCCCACAGTTGTCATGAATACTGAACGTTTTCGACTGGTTTGTATACGTGTTGTCTGCGCCATCATCTGCAGTGACCGAGATAAGATGTAGAAGATTATCATGCTGAAATGTGTGTACCCACTGAAAGTTATGAATGTGACATTTACCCATAGGGATACATGATTATTCAACACAGTTTTGTGAGCATGTGGCACATGAATTATTGAATAGTATTTGTAGTTTTGCAGACTAATATGGGATGCGCAAATGGCGTTAATACAAGTTTTGGCATTTTACCTGAAGAATGCCATCTCCGATGAAAAGCAGCCCAGAGAGTTCAGCTGGAAGGAGAAAATCCCTTCAGTAAAAGTCAGATTAGAGGAGTAGATCGGCATGAGTTGTAAAAACCTCCCCCCACCCGAAAAAAAGACATGATACCTTTTTGCTCTTTTGAGATTTTTGATATCACAACAGGAATTTTATGCTCTGCTCCACCCTAAGGAGACAAATTAAAGAAAATTACACAGGTCTCACAAAATGCAGGCAACAACTCAATTTTCTGTAAATCTGTCAGCTAATAAGTTATTTCACAAAAGCTATCAATAATAACAATGTTGTTTATAAAGTACTTCCCAAAAGCTGAGTTGCAAAAAGCTTTAGGGGAATTATGATAAAACAATTTAGTACAATAAAAATTTTATACTTGGGCCAGAAAACAAATAATAGCTAACAATAAAGGATTCAGAAAGGGGGAATAAGTAAAAAAGAAAGGATACAACATAATGGAAATAAAAGTAAAACAATAATATTGATTTAAATATCATATTAAAGCACATATGATCTTTGTCAGTGTCACTGCAGGAGAAGAAGGAAGTGATTTTTTAAATTGCTCCTCAGCTGGAGGAAGCGTGATGCCTTCTTTGTCAAAGCAGAGATCACTGTCCAAAAATAAACCCAGGTTTCTCATTGCCACTTTGATATTTGTGGACAGGGAAGCAAAAGAGCTCTACAGAGAGGATAAGGACTTTGGGGAGCTGAATGCAATTATTTCTGATTTATTTTCATTTAGCTGGAGGACGTTTTGAGACATCCAGCACTTGATTTCTGCAAGACATGACATTAGCTAATGCAGGTTGCCTTCTTCAGTGTTTTTAATGGGAACTAGATCTGAATGCCATTCACATGATCGCAACAAGAGCACAAGGATGGGGCACCGCAGGTCAGAGGTGGCCACTGAAGCTCAGGCTGAGGCAATGACAACTGAAATATCCCTGAGGCCAATTCAGTTTTCAGTGTAATCTAACAAATGACTGACTGAAAAAGGATCAAAGCTGCTCACAATTCATTGGGCAGGATTCAATATGTAGTCTAGCTAGTGGCTGACCTGTCCAGACTCAGTTTAAAGAAGCTGGGAGGTAGCGGCCTAATCGGCTGGGATCTAAATTACCTTGATGCTCAGGCCAAACCCTCCAATCGTCTGCCTCCGGATCGTTACAGTCCTCTCCTAGAAGAGATTCAGTCAGAATAAGCAGATGAGCTCAGGCTGATGCTGAACCTGTGTGACCTCTTACAACAAAACCAACTGGAAGGCTCCTTCTGCTAAAACTAAAGTCATGCAAAACTTTTTGATTATTGACAAAAGCATACAGTGCACCTGTCATATGAAACAACAGCATTTTAATTTTGAACTCACAGATTTCAACAACCAATCAGCATCAAAATCAAAATCAATAATCAGTAAAAATGTCCTTAAATGAGACAATAACGTAACTGAACATCTTTAGAAACTGATGAGTTTGTCTCAGGTGTTTGTGATTCGAGACATTTTCCAAAGGATTGTAACTCTACTGTAAAGATACTGTTTATATTGCAATGCTGATGAATTTTCAATACATTTAGTGGTGACAGTGCACTGGAATTGAAAACGTTTTGTCAAATGTAAAAGTTAAACATGTAAAATAAATAATCTGGTCACCAAAGCTGAGGGGCTAAAAATAGCTGACATGCTTAGGCTGGGTTCTCATATCCATGCTTTTGCTCTTTTTGTTAATTTAAAGAATATATACATCATGTTTCAGTGGATTCGTTCTATTTGTCTGAAGGTTCTTATCCAGTAAAATGTCAGTGCCATGGACTAAGGGCCTCTGCTGCTCTTTTTCGTCTTAATAAGAAACTGTGAATTTACTAATGGAAAGGAAAAGCTGTCAGATGTGATAACAGGTGTCCTAAGGACTACACTCTTTACACCATGATCCTATAGATTAAACACTGTTGCAACCTTCATCTATTGCACAACACGTTACTGATTTCCTTGTATGAGCATGTGACATGTTATTAAGAGAAGGTTGCTTACACTCGAATAAAAAGGCTCTCCTGACACACAGATGACATCTTGTTCTTGAATGGTCAGAATATCTTTGGCCAAGTGTAGTCGAACATTAAACGGCTCCTCATTACCTTCTTGCATCAAATAAATCCCAGTCTTTGTCTGTGAACAGTCAGAGAGATAAAATCATTCATCATCCCTTCACAACTAAATTAACTGGCCATGAAATGAAATGTCATTGAGAATACGCGTTTGCAGGATGAACATAGAAATTGGGGCACAGACATTTGCCGATGTCGGTTGCTTCCTTTTGCACAATTTTTCTTGTTAATGCTAATGCTGAAACAAATAACCATTACCAGTGCTCTGAGTAACAAAGACACAATTAGACAAAAAATACATATGAAAACTGCTGTTTAATGATTTAATGAGCAAGATCTCTAAGAAGCAGCTTCTTTCCGATAACATTTTGTGGCCCCAGTGCGCTGTGTATACATGAATGTTGAAAGGAAAACTAATTAAAATGGTATCATCTCATCTATTTTAAGTGTATGGCTGATGGTGATCATGACAAATTAAGAAGCTTTGAAATTAAGTGGCTGGAATCAAGTTCACCCACTACATTTGAATTTCCCTGCTTTATACAACCAAGTGTGAGAACTGTGTGTGTCTCCAATGATCCGTTTAAAACATGCTAATCCGCATAAATTTGCATTCTGCATATCCTTCCTCCTCTCAGGCTAATTGCAATGCCTGCCCTTGCCTTGACTTTAAAAGGTCTAAACAGAAGAAGCACCTTCACCTGACAAGAGTGCTAATCGAAAAAAGCCACCAGTGTCAGCATCCTTGTCACCTGCGATATACCACCCATCAGTAACTTGGCTGCTATTCTTAAAGAGAGTTTCTCAACTCCAGGTCAAACTGGAATCAAAGTCAGTTTATGGAGAATATTATCTTCCACCTGTAATGAAGAACGTGAAGAAATGAGCCTGAGAAAGGTGGCATTAGTTCACATTATTTGAAAACAATGTATGTGAAAAAGTCATTAGCCAAAGATTTAGGGCAGTAGCGCCAGAACAGTACATACCCACAACACAATTCACCTTCATTCTTCTAATAAAACAGCTAAAAATAATTTGTTTTTATTACACAGCCATCCTTTCTCAGTTTAGGGCCCAGGGTAAGACAAGTGACGTTTTTAAAGTGGAATGGGATCAAAGCCCAGATTTTTGTATCTAAAACATCATTAGACCCCCCGCACACTGAAAGGGGCACATGGTTTAGTCCACCCCTGCAGTAGGGGGAACAAAGGTTTGTTTCCAAACTGCGCTGATGCTGAGGACTTCAGGTGAACATTGAAACTGTCATGTTATTTTAAAAATGAACATCAGGCGACAAAAAAAAGAAAAACGGTGAGCGAGAAACAATTAGAGGGAAAGCAACTTGCTGCGAGTTTTTCCACAGTGATTTAATATCGGTATGTAGCATGGCTAGGTAATATTATAATTAGCTTGCTGATAAATGAAGCAGCATTGTGACTTTGAGAACCAGCCAGAGAGAGTCGGCTGCAGATCCATCACCATCTTCTCATGACAAGCTGAGCTCATAAACGTCCTTTCAAACAGCCACTTTCAGCAAATGCATCAAGTGCTTTTATTGTATGTGTTTACTTGTGAATTAGGTTATTTGTACAGTTCTATAGTGGATGTATTAAAAGGAGAAGAGGGCCCACTGCAGTCACTTACTGTACGTATAGGTCCATTTTAATTTGCTATGCTACTATTCCAGCTGCATGTTTCCAGATATGTTGAAATGCACAGTCAATCCACTGTCAAACTGTTACACTGATTAAATCCTACCAACCTCTTCATTTGAAGTCTTGAAATCCATGTGCTACTATGCAGTGAGGGATACTGCAAAGGAGAAAAACAAGACTGAGTTAGACTGTGGAGGAAAATGCTTAATGACATGACCAACTCGCTGCAGCAAATTCACACAGCTGATTTAAACCAGCATTGTTAGGCAGGATGCCTATTTTTACGTAGTCATGCTTTTCTCGTATAGAACTCAGACAATGGAAAAGAACTGATTTTTCATTCAAATGTGCCTCTTTTAAACTCAACTGTGCCCTTCTGCAAAGTCTTGGGAGAAAACCGGAGACCATTAGGCTTTAATGATTCATTCATTAGCAAAGGTGAGAACCTTTGTACCCTAATAAATGTTTCAGTATCCCATGCTCCCAAGGATGAACTGTGTTCCTGTGGCGCATATCTGATACTCAGAGAAAGCATAAAACTGAGGCACAGCAAGAGAAAACACCACAATAAAAATATAACCTGAGTGGTGATGTGGTTTTAAAAAAGGACCGACAGTACCAGTAAAAACCACATATTTTAAATCATCTGACTTGCTCTACACAAAAGAGGTAAACAAGTAGACTCAGGGAATGTTGTGTGAGAACCTCATTTACATACACCAGTTCCACTCAGTTTTAATCAGACATGACAGCCACTTGACTCGACAAAAGGAGTACAAAACCGAAATGGCTCACACTTGAATTATAGAACCTGTGCTGCAGAGGGAGTCGAAGACTTACCTCAGTAGAAAGGCCCTCAGCTCTTCATGTGATGAGATCTAGCCATCAAGTGGTGAGTTGGTCCCTGATCGGAGCCGTAGCAGAGGGCCTCCCCGAACCATGGCTGTCAGGCGTTGGTGGTGGGAGAGAGAGCGATGCTGTCACCTCTCCTGGCTGGCTGTAGACAGAGTAGGATTATTCCCAGTGGAGGTGGCTGTGCTGCACTAATAGGAAGAGGATGTGGCTAAGGTAGCATTCTGATACTAAACCCGCTTGCAGGTACAGTGATACAATAAGAGCTGAAAAAACAACAACAACAATTTAAGTCTTTCAATAAAACTCAAAAAAAAAAAAAACAGACCTGAATACTGTTGAAGAAATGCATCTGACTGTGACTGAAATGATGTAATCTACAGTTGGCAGCAAACACAGACAAGTGTGATGTCAATATAACTGCTACATGTATGTGGGATGCTGACTCAGAAGCAATTCATGCCTTTATTTCCCAAATAAGCACTTGATACAAAAAAAAGGAGACTCAAAAGCCAATTCAAAGCTGTGAATCCTACTGATCAGTCTATGATGGAAGATCTTCTCAAACACCTCACTTCTAAAGACCTGTGGATTCAGGCACACCGATGACAAAATGCAATTAAGGCACATTCTTCTGTTTTCTTGGATTTCTGTATTTGATGAACAAATGACTCTCACAGTGTTTATTAAGTTCCAATACCCTGGAGAAATCCTCTTCGTTAGCATGCATTGTTGGCTCCATGCCACATTTAGCTACTACCATGATCATTGTTCTACAGGATTAACAAAAATCCTCAGTATAAGCATTTCAAACTACATTTCATACACATATCATTGACTCCTGATTAAAGAGAGACAGACTGGTCCACTAAGAAAAGGACTTGACAATAAGGGTGCAGCACATCTGTAATAAAAGAACCACTGCAGAGATGATAAACTTAAAATTATAAAATAATCATACTATTAAGTCTTTGCATATGAATTAACCTCCTGCCTAATGCTGCTGACCTACGGCTGCACTGATGCTTGTTTATAGTGCCTTCCAGAATATCCGAATATTGCTACATCCCTACAGGCAGTGAAACTGGTACCCACATGAGATTTACATTTGGAACAATTCAGTGAAATTTCCACTTTATAGCTACTATAAATGTAGGATGATATATAGACACTGTGCAGGATATTATATTGTAACTCCGTATATCTGTTTAAGATCGAGATTCTGGAAGGCAGCACTAGAGTTTTATCACACACGGTCATCCATCTAATCCATTTAAGCAAAGTACACCAGGGTGTTCTCGAAGTTTATCCAGGTTCAGACTGCACATTTTACAATAAAGGCTTGATATGACATCTTTACTCTGTCTGTAGTCCGGGAATAAACTTCTTTAATAAAAATTTCTAGTGGGCTGGCTTTCTTAAACACATAGTGTCCAACTTGTATTTATAGTAATCTTTACTTGATATGTGGTACTGAGCTTTTGAGTGACTGTTTTAAATTCTCCATACCCAACAACTCTAGTAACACCCAACCTGTGCTACAATGCTAAGTCCTGTCCCCTGCGGAGATTGTTCTGGATTATTTACCAGTGTCATAAGAACATCGAGTGGGTAAATATTTGCTTTCATTTTCTCCATGCCCACAGTGCATTAGTTATTAAGGGGATGGTAATAGCGATGTTTGGGAAACTGTTCTGGTGCTCACCCAACAAGTTCACAGGAGAAAAAGTACTGAGTCACAGAATATCTGAATGTTCATTCTATAATTCTGGCTTTTATAAAAGGAAAGACAGAAGGAGAGACTTCCACTTTGTCAACATTTCTCTGAGATGCTTCAGTCAGGGATAAATATTTTCTCCATGTTGCTGATTAATTTATTTTTAAAGGTTTCATATAGGAAGGTTCAATAGTTATTGTTGCCCAGTAGCATTATTTCCTATTTAGCAAAACTGATGTTGTACTCAGATATTAGGCCAAATCCTGTGATACACTCGGTTAAAGCGGGCAATGTTTTAACAGGATCCATTAATGTCACAAAGGCATAATTAGCGTATAATAGGATCTTACTCTGTTTTGTACCGTTTGTTATTCTTTGGATAGGCCTATTTGGATTTTCCTCATAGCTATTGCTGGGATTCTCTAGCCAGGGTGAACAGGAGAGGAGAGAGTGAGTTTCATTGGGCTGCACCTCTTGTAAAATGTTAAGGAAGCAGATGACAGGCTGTTTGGCATAACAGAGGCTGTAGGTGCTTTATAAATGAGTTTAATCCATCTCAGAAAATTGGACCCAAGACAGAATCTCTTTAACACTTCATATATTCCCATTCAGTTCTGTCAAAGGTCTTTTTGGCATCCATAGAAACAACTGTACTTGAGATTTGACTAAAGTAATGAATAACAAATACTAACAGTACATCTTGAGTTAGAGTTAACGTTCCTACCCTTAATGAAAATTGCCTGGTCTGCAGTTTCAATGAACATCAAAACCTGAGTGAGTGTTTTAAAGAACTACTGAGATGAATTAAAATAGGAAAAATTCAACAACCAAATTAAGGGAACACTTGATTATCAGAGTATAACACTGATTCAGTTCAACTTCAGGGATATCACTCTGTCCATTTGGGAAGGTGAATCATTTTCACCTGCTTCGGTGCAAATGAAAGTAACAACAGATGCAATGGAGAGACAAAAGTAGGACAACCCCCCACTGGGGAACGGTTTTACATGTGGTGGCCACAGAAAAATGCTCTCTCCTTACCCTTCCTGACCGATTCTTCTCAAGTTTTGTGTTTTGCTCATGACCTTGTCGCTACTGATAGCATGAGGCAGTACCTGCAGCCCGGTCACTCCAAGATGGCACATCCATACGTGCAGTCACAAGGAGGTTTGCTGTGTCTCCCAGCACAGTCTCAAGAGCATGGAGGAGATACCAGGAGACAGGCCGTTACAGCCCTGTTTAGGGTTATACTAGTGCTCAGTGCCATCTTAAATGTTGTGCATCCTAAGGTTTAAATGCAATTTGTAGTGGTTATAAAGTTAAGTCGGTTCATTTACTGGCACCCAACATGTTGACATACTGTACACTCAGTAGTCTGCTTATTATTAGAATGGTACCGGGTAAATCTGACGCAGTCTAATACAGAAGCTCTGCAAAAGGCCTATCCACTTGAAAATGATAGTGTTCAGTTTTTGTTGGAACTGTAATGGAGAGGTGTTGATTCAGCAACTTTCTGGTTGTTTTGAAGGCTGTAGTTTGTGGTGCTGTTTGACTGCAAGTCATTTTCTGAGTAAAAAAAAAAATGCTACAAAACATTTAGGTCCTAGGCCTCAAATACTTTTCTTTGTCATACCTAAAAGTAAATAACATTATTTTGGATTTAAGACTGCTGCACAAACAAAAACGTCACCTCAGGCTCTGGAAAAATAATCTGCAGCTGCTGCCCTGGTGTAATATTTTGTAAAATTTAAGTCAGGTAAAAAGGTGAAGACAAATTCTGTAAGAAAAATCCTGACAACAGTGGACTTGTTTAAAAATGAATGTGTTCCCATGGTGAGCTGAAAAACACATCTGCAGCCGTGAGCTGTGCTCTTTTGTCAAACACAAGCACTTCACTTTTTTTTTTATGGCAATCCAAAAATTAAATAATCTGAGCTTTTTGTGCTTTTTAAGTCGAGTCAGCACAACACTTTTTACAACCATGCCATCAGATATTTTCAGTCCTACCAATCTGGTAGGTGCGTTTTTAAAATGCTCTCGTCTTTGACACAATGGCAGGAAGTAGAGAGAGAGGAGCGGAGTGACAATGCCTGGGTGATGTGGAGATTGTAATATGACATCTCCATCTCTTAGACCTGAGGACAGCTGTGGCCCATACAGGATGATGAATGGCCATTTGTGTGTGCAGGTGGAGCAGCTGTCTGCAGAGTGCTCCGGCAAATGTAGTTTTACTGCTCCGAAATTGAGTCGAGTTTCACTTACTGTAAGTTCACTTGTTCTGCAGCCTGGAACATATGGTGCCTGAGACTGAACCTTTTTAATCTGGCGAGTGATGATAGAAATTATGTTACTCAAACGTTATGGCATCCCACAAGAGTCTAGCTCAATATCAACTGACTACATTTTACAGGATCTGCCCGATTCATGTTAGAAAACAAAGTTAAAAATTTCTGTTGTGGCCTGCAAGCTTCCTCTGTTAAAAATGTTCACCTTCCTTTATCAAGTCTATTGTGGAAGGCTATTTAGATACTCACATTAACACTTGCATGTAACTTAGAGTCACCAGTTAATGTAACCTGCAGGTCTTTAGATGGAGGAGGCTGGAGCGCCCAGAGAAAACCCAGGCAGGCACAGAGACGACATGCAATTAAACCAATGCAGAAGAAGGAGACACAGCAACACGTTTGGAGCCCGTGACAACCTGAACTTGCATCTTTTTCTCAGCTTTTCCAGATCCCAGTAGTTAAATATTACCACAAGGAACAGTGGCCAACAGTACCAAAAATAAGTAAACAAATAAACCAACATTGTTTATTTACCTCCTGAAGTAAGGACTGTCATCCACTGTGGTCTATGTAAAGATTTTCTCAACACTGAGCTGAAACACTATACACAGTTTGCCAATTCAGTGCTGAGCCTCACATCTGACGCTGCTGTGACGTGACAGCGCCAACTACTGCACCATCATGTCATCCTCTATAGATAACAGAAGATCACTCACCTTAAGCACTTGTTTTATATCAGTACTCTTCATGTGACAACTTAGAATATTTTCTTCCATATTGTTCATGGTTTCTAGTTTTTAAAAGAATTGGTGTTTATGAAGACGGAGGCTTGATGTGCACACTTAGTGTCTCAAACGTGAGAGCTACAGCTGTGTGTTATGATTGGAAAAGAAGTGTTCATTTAAGAGCACATGTCATGATGTCTTTGTATCTTTGGAGTATAAAATATGTCCTACTTATAAACAAGTGGCAAATGGAAAATATGCATCTTCACTCATCACTTGGTTTTATGCTTACAACTAGTCAGTTTCCAGAATAGATTTTTGCTGGCCTGTCAAATGTTAGTAAATATTGAAATATGCTAATCACATTTTTCCCAGAGCCCAAGGTGGAGTCTTTAAATCACTTCTTGTCTGATTAAAATTCCAAAACCCAAAGATATTTACTTAGCAATCAAAGAGGATAAAACCCAGTACAACATGCAAAGCTGGATCGTTTTAATAGCAAAATGTTTGCTGTCATTATAGTGTATATATAGATTGTTAACTGTAGATTATTTTCCCAATTAATAGTTTGGTTAATAAAATTAAAAAAAAGAAAGTGTCAAATGCCTTTTGTTTGATTTAGTCCCAAGCTTTAACATATTCAACTGACAATGACAGTCACAAAAAGCAACAAATCGTAGCATTTGTGAAGTCGAATTCACACGACCTTTGTTGATTGTGCTTAAAGAATTCACTTAAACAATATCAAAATTATTGCGTTCACTTTCTCTTCAATAGTCATTTCAGCTCTAGTTGTAGTCTAAAGAACAGCACTGAAACCTCCTTGTCATCTGAAAATTTGCAGCACACTAATAAACCGAGTCCCTGGTTGTACTCCTGCAGCGAACAGGCTCGTGTCAAGAGGCAGCTGTTTGAACAGTTCTGTGTTTACAGAGCACATCTCGCATTCAACAGGGCCTGCTTTATGTGCCGCTGGAGGTGCTACCCCTCCTCTTCTTTCACATTATGAGATCAATCATTCGGGCAAGACAGAAAGGATATCTTATCATGTTTTCAATTCTTTTAGAGCATTTGTCAAAAAAATAAAGCATTTCATTACCTTTTAAAGTCAATACTTCACCAACAGCAGTGCTCTTCATGCCAGATGCTCGTGAATGATAGGCAGAAGAGTAAATTAGTGATGGACACATTGATACACTGAGGTCCTGACCTTCCTGACTATGATGAATGTTTTTTGGCAAAAGGGAGCCAGAAGATATCAAATGGGTGCCAACTTAAATCAGCCCAAATTATTTCATGAGCAGGTTCCCTGTTAAATGAGAGGATTTCAGGGAGCAGAAATAATAAACTATAGCTAGAGGAAACTGATGTTTGCTACTATACAGGTTTCCTAATTGGACTGTAATCCTTTTTTCCCTTTTAACACAGGATATTATGGTGCATTGCCTGTAGATAAATGGATTGGGCAAGTTGTCTTACATAAGAGTCTTTATTAGCCTCAACAAATGAACACAGCCTTCAAACCACATTGAATTCACACACCTAATCATCATATACACATACAAATAAGCCCTAACCACAGTTATTTTTTGTATTTGAGCCAGTGAGGCCTAAACACCTTTCCAGGGAAAGACTTTAGGGCTTGGAAATGGCACCATGCTGTGTGTAGACTACATGAAAGGATTAACAAGCTCTGCATAGTGCTGAAGGCTAGGTCACACTGAAATTAAGCTACACAGAAGTCTTTCTCCATTGCTCAGGCTAATTATTTATGAATTCAAATTACGTGACATGAAACAAATTGCGATCCTAAGGATGTAAATTAAAGGTCTGCAGATCATAAACTCTATAAAAGTAGTGCATTTTACTGGAGATAAAAGCACCAGTTACAAATTAATGACGATCTTAAGTTTACTTTATTTCCTAGAAGATTCTAAGGGTCATCTTCCTCTGAAAAATGACTCATTCACTTAAAACCTACTTCATTCATTCAGTTAGATACAAATACATAGGGCTGCAGCTAATGACTATTCTAATTACTGGTTCATCTGCTGATTGTTTTTTTTATGGTTAATAAGGTTTAGTCTGTAAAATACAATAAAAAAATAAACAAATGCCCATCACAATTTCCCTAAAGCCCAGTGACTTCTTCACATAGTATTCTGTGCTGGCTCAAGAGTCTGAAATACAAATATATTCTATTTACTGAGATATTAAAAAAAAGAGAAACAAAGAAATGCAGCAAATCCTCACATTTGAGAAGCTGGAGCCAGATAGTATCTGGCATTCATGATTAATTTAGATGACAATCATATGCTTGTGGTCTCTGCAATTTCACAAATGTTTAAGTAAACAGACGCTATAATGGCCACACAGTTTGTTCTGCCATCGTAAGCAAAAACTGTACACTGGGTTAATTGCCGCTCGGGGCTATTTTACTATTCATAGGTTGACTGAGTGGCAAATGTTCCAAAGAAACACAATAATGCAGTTTACTGTACAGTGTACAAGAATATCTGCCATCAAGGTTGAGCTGCTACTGTAGCGTGCTGTCAAGGCAGCAGGGCTTAACCAATAAGCAGAGACTCCCTGCATTAATCAAATGTGACCTAAAATTGTCCAACCTGGGCTACTTACAGGTTGTACAGCATAAAGGAATTACTGCAATGCCCTCAACAGAAATCCAGTGTTGGAGGTACAGATGGTATCTCTGAGGGGTTTGTCACTTGAATGTTAAACAGCACGCAAGTATCATAAATCGTTATGTACAATCTAAGCCCTTATTGCTTTTCTTAGGGCAGTCATCACCTACATGTAGCTTTCAGTGTGTTGGTCTGTGTTGCAGTTCTGAACCTCTAAATCAGATGGGCTGGTATACGAGGTGCATATAAATGAGAGTTGTGTCTTCTGTCTTCCCCGCCACGAGAGTTTGGTGTGCATCCGCTTCATTAGCCATCAGTCTCCACTAAGACAGACTAATGGTTTTTCTCATTGCATGACAGATATGTCTATAATGTACTTTATTTGTGCAGCATGTGGCTTCTCCTCTGTGGATTCCACATCTGGTGCAGTTTGTATGGATGGTCAACCACACAGTTGCTATAAAAGCCACAGTATCATCAGGTGCCATACATTCCTCTCTCTGCTCTTGGGCTGAACTGTAATGAAGATGTCCAGCCTTACAATAACATACTGTACGCTCTCCCAGCTACCCTTTACGCAGAAAATGTCAAAGAATGCCTCTATTTTATTGTACCAAACTGTTTTCTTTGAATACACAAAAAGCTATATTTACTGTACATTTTAATTTTCATCTTTTATTTCCTCTACTTTGATTATTCTCTGCCGCCACTGTGAAGTTTTTGCTGCGCCACTTTCAACACAGCTCTTCTTTCTATGGCCCAAAGAGGTCAATGAATAAAGCTACATCCCATCAGAAAATAAAATTACACTGAACGTACAGTATAGCCCGTGTATTCAGAACAACTCTACTGCAAATCGAGCCGCTGTGTGATGCTGGGGGGTAACAGCCCTTTGACTATGCTATACATAACATATACTGCTTGTAGTGGACAGCTGATCCTGCTTGAAATATTTCAAGACATTTAACTAGTACGGATTTTTAAATGACCTAATGGGATTCAGCTGCATGAGAAATGGGGGATTATTGATCAACTAAGTAGGGAGGATAAAGTGTTGCTTATCTCTTCATTGTGCAGCGTAGCCAATGTTCCTTGATAACGATTGATGCCATAATGCCAGATCATGACTGTATTGGGCAAAACTCTGCGGCAAGTGTCCTTTGTCTGCTTATCAGCAGCTCCAGACTGCAACACGGTGTGAAGGATTCTAACAAGTTGTCATTGACTCTCTCCCCCTTCCTGACATATTGACCAGATGTGGCTGACACCATTTCACTCAGGCCTGATTTTCCGCCACTGTACTTCTGCCACTTGGCAAAGCTGCTCTTTGATTTAGGACGTTAGCAGAAACGGAGGAGGAGATGCACGTGCTACAGGGCATAAAATCATCGGACATGTCAACATGTCTCCCTCTATAGGAAGTGAGACCTCCAGCACATCAGAAAGATTACTCCTGACCTACAGTATAACCACAGAATGGATCAATTTAGCTCAGCCCAATATGTCTATACGAGCACAGTGCCTCCTATCTTGAGCACAAACCTGAAATTACTGATGTAAAGTCTAATTTCTACATCTCTGTGGGTTTCTTAGATACAAACTGTACTGTCACCTTGCAGACTATAATCAGGAAAAAAAACAAGCTTGCCTTCTAAGCACCCTGACACACCACTTTACAGTTGCAGCAGCAACATAAATTTTGTGAAACAGTAGAGAATTCAGGAGCTTTCTGTGGGGCTAATAAAACGCACTGGTCCACCAGCAGCAGCAGGCTGTGCTGAACTACTCCTTAGGTTTATCTCAGATAGATGTTAATGCTTTTCCCAAGAAGAAGAAGCTGTTGGGGATCAAAAAACAAGGTGGCAGGACTTAGCGATGTATGCATAGTTCTGTAACGTTTGACCTGTAAGATGAGCATGTTTTAAAAGCAGGTATAGTGTCAATTATTGGCACCCAGTGCAGAGAGTACTTTAACACTGCTGAATAGCACTAAGAATAAAAAGGGGTCTGCTGCCACGGCACTGGCTGGATGAACTGTGGGTGCTGCTTGTGTACTTGCACTGTCAGTTACAGTGGAAAGGTTTCTGCAAGCCCACATATTTCCTACAAACGATACAGTAATGAAGCAATGTTTCATCACGAGGCCCATCCTAAGTGAATTGATCAGCTCTGTGCATCACAAAAATCAGGCTATTAGGGAAGGTGATGCTTTATTATCGATTGGATGATACAGATGGGTACATAAATCTTGGTGCGCATCATTAAGGCAAAATAAACCTCAAAAAAGTACATTGTAAATGGATAAATGCTTCAGCTCATGGATGTTTGGCATAATAAACTACCTACGTCCATGATGCTCATGAGCACTGTAAATGTAAAAGCGAAAAAGGGTCTGTGGGACTTACCTGATTTTCTAGTAACAGGTGGTGATGTCTTATTAGTCGTATCCCTTTTGACTCCAACCCCTCATGTGACAGGTTTTCTTATTTTAATTTATGCAACGGTTGCTAAAACATCTCTGCGAAATCACAATGTATCCCTTGTGGCAGCTTCGCCCACACGGCATCCTGGTCCACTACACTGTAGCAATGTGCAAAACCCGACAGAAAAGCAGCCCGCACCCGCACACAAAACAAGATTTGTCCATATTTCCTGGGCAGCAGCGGTTTCAGGGATTCCTCTCCGTCGACATCTCTGGCAGAGGGTCCAATTTCACAGCTCCGTGTCTCTCTCTCGCATCGTTCTGCCAAAATGAAGCTGGAAATCACATGCAGCTGGTTTAACGCGCGCGTCAATCGACTTCGTTTAGCCAAGGCACAACTCTGGATCCATAAATTTTACATGATTCTGCTTGTTACTGTTTTCAGAGGCGTCTGCTTCTCTGTCCCTCTTTACACCCGAGCTAAGACACACTCACGTCTCACAAAGCGTTTTCTTTTTTCCTTGCCAATTACAGTTACGTGCACTGCGGTCCTGTGTGTGTGCGCGCGCGCACGTACCTGCGGCAAAAGGCAAAAGAATAGTATCTCCTTTGTTGCAACGTATAACCCATAGCCTAGGTCGAAGTTGACTTTACATTAAAGGCCAGTGTGTGCACGCATGTGGGTTTCAACTTTCTATGCTAAAGGACATTTCAAAGAAAACCGCATGGGTGGGTTTCTCCGCCTCATGACTCAGTTTGTGTTGTCAGTGAACACAGACTTCCACTTTGCCCATACTCAACACACACTGTACATATGCGGTCAGTCACTCAGTAGTATTTGGACTCCTTCCCCGAGGCCCTCCTGTGAGCAGCTGGGAGGCTGACCAGGTGCAGCTCATTTTCCATGCTGTCATCAAGCCAGCTGAGAAATGGCTGTTTCCCCACATGATGCAAGTTGACTTCTCTGACGTTTCACGTTGCCTGCCAACCTAAGCAGCACGTGATAGGCAGCCTTATTCATAAACTGAGGAGCACATGGGTATTTCAGTCTTGCACCCCAACACAGGTTAACTATTTTATTTTGAAAAGGTTTGTTAATTAAAGGTTGAAACCTGCTGCTCTGGGTCAATGTTGGTCCTACACACCACAGCTGTTCTCAGGCCTTATCTATGCCAAGGCGCTGGTGTGATTTGGAGATAATAAATGAGTGTGCTCAGTGACTTCACACTTCACTATACAAAAGCAGCCTCTGGAAGTGTCTCCCGCCATCCCTGTCCTTTCCAATAGCTTAAGTGTGATCCATTAGGAAATCAAAACCATTTCACGCCCAACTTATGGCTAAGGCTTTGTGAGCGCTCATTTAACCAATCTGGGTCAGAGATACTGACATGCTTGAATGGAATCAGCACCAATACTGACCCTATAAGTGGATTGGGTGTGGGCCATGATGCAACCAATTCACATTAAATGCAGTTTCTTTTTTAATGCCATTGAAAATTTAGTGTCTCTGTTATCACTTACATTAAGTGAGTCATGCTGGGCTGCCAACTTTTTATGCTTCAGCTATCCTAGTCCTCCAGGTACCTTACATAAACCTGATTCAAATAGTGAATTATGGAAATTGTATTTCCTCAGTCAGCTTTATATTATGAGCAATTTGTCCAACATGACCAACAGAAGAAAGTTCTGCCAAAGTTAGAACAGTTTTGACAGTTTCCTATGAGAGATCCCTGTATTTGTGTTGCTGTCTGTGCAGTTCTCAGTCACTCCAAAACCAAACTGTGCAGCTGTCAAAAACTAGTCCCTGTGTATGTGTTTTCCCTTAGTGTATATGTTTTCTACTGTATATAAATTGTTTTTTTTTGTTTGCACATTAAAATACAACAAATAAAAACATGTTCACAGGACATTCATTCAAATACATGCTTACGCCTACATGTATTCATATATGTGGGTTAAAAGTAAGCAAAAGCCTGTGTAAGAGACTGGGAGGAAATTAAAATTCATAGAAAGTCTGTTGTGAAAACCAAGACTAGATCAACTGGATTATAATAAATAGAAATAATAAGGGATGGAAAGGTAATTACAAAACCAAGAAAATATAACAGTTACTTTTCACTGTCAACACTGTGACTACAAGGTTTACAATGTTTGTGTGAGATGTTTTTTAAAAGAAAAAGATCATCATGGACAATATGCCAGTTTGAATTCCACAAAATAGCACCTGGTTATCTAAATTAAAATGTAACCACATTACTGGATCATAAAGGAAGATGAGGATATCTGTATGTTGCATGGACCAAATGGTACCACCTCAAAAAAACAGCTAATGTTATCCTTTTGCCTGCGCTTGACCAGAAAATCTAGAGCATGTTCCTGTCCTAATTGAGCTGGTGTTAAGCTGTCCTGCTATGACACAATACAGGGCCAGGGATGCACAGCTTCCTCTCTGTTAATTAATTTTCAAGCTCATAAGCTTCTGTCTCTGCTTTTCAGAATGAGTGAAATGATTTGAGATGACACATCATGCTTCCACTCCTCCTTCATTGCTGTCAGTAGAACGGGATCCACGTGCTCTGAATGTAGAGAACAGAAGTGAAGCATGAAAACTGCAAGAAGGCATTTTTCACCTGACCATGCATGGCCTGCTTCTCTTGAATGGGGTTTGGTTGACGGGCAATATTGATTTTAAAACATTATCTTTGATGGTGCACCATGTTTCCTCTGGATCACCACCAAACACCACCACTCCTCACTCATCCTGCTTGCATTACAGAGCGCTAAGTGTGTGACAGCAGCCTGGAGTTATTATGCACAGATAACCTTCCGTTCCCTCTATAATCCGAGAAGGCACAAAGGGAAACTATTCATGATCCACAATTATGTTTTCAAGATAAGATAAGCAGTTCACAATTAACTTAAGGCTTGCCCCAGACATAAGGCGCTTTTCATATCTGCTGACCTAGCCAATCAAACTGCTCCAGGAGCTACTTTTCAATAAGTCTTTGCTTTGTGTTTCTTTTTTTATGCCTTGTTACTTTTAGATGCACAACTCCTGCCTCTCGCAGAAGAACTTAGCTGAACACAAGGGGGCGCAGACTGCAAAGTTTGCCTCCAGTTTAGCAGAAAGGATAAATTTGATTATGTGTGATGTTGAGTGGGAAGTACACTTTTATTTACAAGGAAGAAAGCCTTATCGCATTATTGGCATGGAAATGTGTGGCCTTCATACACAGCTGCAATAGGAAGGGTCATTCTTTGGCAAAGCTACAGAAGAACAATATGGATGGCAGCATGCAGTTTGGTCTACTTGCTGGTTGGAGCATGAATCAGGAAGTCACAGATTTGTCTCTTCAAAAGATTTGAATATACAGACATGAAAATGTCCATACACGTAGCTGGCAAACAGTCCATCTCCCTTCAATCGTTATCATCATCATTAACAGAGCTTGTGTTGGTAGAACTATTCTCCAATTCAAATATGCCACCCATCCAGGATAATCAAGTCCCCAGAGGTTTATGAAACAACAATCATCAGTAACACTGTGCACACTCTGCAGTGATTGCATTAGTGATGGCATTTTAAATAATCCTGTCTGTCTCACCCTGTGGCTCTCCTCCCAACCCCTTTCTTCTCCTGGCAGTTTTAATGATCTTTCTGCAGTTGCAGGAATATTTCAGAAAAACTGTTTTGCTTTGTTGTTGCTGTGTATGATGCTATATGCACTTGCATTATTGAAGCACAGAAGTCTGCAAAAACACCTCTCTGCGTGGAGTAAACGGGTCTAAGCCAGCCTCTAGGGGGGGTTGTGCACTCCTACAGGCTAAAAGCGCATGTTTAAGGCATCGTGGTTAAAACGAGATTTAATTGGTTTGAACTCCCAGTATATGTAAATGGTGTGGGTGGCTCCTCCCATGCACCTGATAGGGAGTATTTACAGCTACCCTGTGCACTGTTTCCAGGAGCGCTGCGCTGCACCATGAGGACGCTTAAGAAATAAGGATTTCTGACTTCACAGAGTAAACTGACGTTCACCGTTATATTTTCCCAGAAAAAGGTTTGCTAAAGTTGTCCTCTTGTTTTCCAAGATGCCACGCTCTTTTCTGGTCAAGAAACACATAAACTCCGCAAAGAAGCCAAATTATAGTGAGTTGGAAAGCCCACCAGGTAACGTTTTTCAAAGTAAAGGACCCGTGTAACTTTAAAACTTTTAGTGGTTTATTTCATACAGCAGATCAAGTTGCTTTTTTAATTTGGCAGAAGCTGTCATTCTTAAACTTCCTGGCAAACTTTTAAAACTGTGCACTTCACCCAAGTATGACAGTCAACAGCTGATCACTGATTTTATTTTACTTTTTTTTTACTTTCAGTGTTCATCACGCCGCACATCTACAAGGGCCTTCCGTTGCCTCTCATCCCCCACCCGGAGATCCTGAGCCCAGCAGCGTATAGCCCCATTACAGTGTGGACTACCAGCAACTTGCCGCTGTCTCCGCTGCCCAGTGACCTCTCCCCAGTCTCTGGATACCCCTCCTCGCTATCCGACGCCTCCTCTAAAGACCACAGCGGATCTGAAAGCCCGAGGAGTGATGAAGACGAGCAGATGTTGCCCAAGCTGACAGACCCTCACGGAGCGGAGGCAGAGAAATTTCAATGTAGTTTGTGTAGCAAGTCCTACTCCACGTACTCGGGACTGCTCAAGCATAAACAGTTGCACTGCGACGCCCAAACGAGGAAATCCTTCAGTTGTAAATACTGCGAGAAGGAGTACGTAAGCCTTGGCGCTCTCAAAATGCACATCAGGACTCACACCTTGCCTTGTGTTTGCAAAATATGCGGGAAAGCCTTCTCCAGACCGTGGCTGCTCCAAGGACACATCAGGACGCACACCGGTGAGTGACTGGGGGAATAAGAGAGGGGCCTTCTGTGTGGACAGGCAGCTTAGATGCTGCTGGCTTCTGCAGTCACACATATGATCTAATTGTCTTTATAGCTACAGTTCTCTATCGAAGCTGAACAAGTTATTGCTGTGAAAATAAGATGTTCGGCTCTCATGTTATTTCTTCCTTTTCGATTTGCTTTGTGATGTGTTGAAAACAGAAAAACAGCTTCTTCTTCTTTTTTGGCAGTTGTCATGTATGCTCAATCAGCAGCACAATATGCTCAGCAGACTGATTTTATTTCAGTGTGTTGCAACAGCTAAAAATAATGGGCCCAGATGTCTCTGTGACTAATTTCAGATATGCACATCTCTGACAATGTCTCCCTTCTCCCCACTGACAGGAGAGAAGCCGTTCTCCTGCCCTCACTGCAACAGGGCTTTTGCGGACAGGTCCAATCTCAGAGCTCACCTACAGACCCATTCGGATGTGAAAAAATACCAATGCAAGAACTGCTCCAAAACTTTCTCCAGGATGTCTCTTCTGCACAAGCATGAGGAATCTGGTTGTTGTGTAGCACACTGAACTGGGATACTTTTCTACCACCAGAAAGAAAAAAAAAACCCTTTGTTGCTTCTTCTTTGCTTTTCCAAGCCCAGGAGAACTGTCAGGGAATCATATTGATGGGGTTTGTTCCCAAATAGCCAGACTTCTTTCTACCACCGGTCGATTTCATTTCAGAGAGAGAAGTACTGTAGCTCTGCGCTCACATGCTTCTCGCTTCAAGCAGCGTTTCTGTGATTGCAATCAGTGTGTAGCTTTGTCAAACCATGTACTCACCTACCTGTGCTATTCATGCACTTTTCTGCATGTCTAGAATGTTTTATATGCCTTCACAATGTTATCTTCAGTGTTTGTACCAATGTCTCTCAGTGGCAGTCCTCCACTTTTTTTATACAAACCACACAAATGATACCAAAAGGCACATTATGAATGGCAGTATAAATATATCCAGAGGAATACTGAAGCCATTGATACTTAGGGAACAAGTGCAAACTTTGATTTTTAGGGGGAAACTATTTTAACTTTTGCACAATCATTTAGAAACAGTTTGGTAGCACTCAAATAGCAATACAATATTTCCAAAGTGCCTCAGTTTTACTTGGCAATAATAAATATTTTTCAACTCCAGAAGCCTTTTATATGTTTATATATTGAATGTAAGAGTGACTGAGATGATTGTATAATAACAGTGAAAACTGTGATGCTGAATGATTTTGATATTTTCCTATTTTCATGACACTTTAAAAAATAAAGTTTCATGACATTTTGTATAACTTTTGGCATCTTTCATGCTGCTCTTTCATCTGCAAAGACTTCTCATTGCTTTGGTATATGAGCAGCTCCTTCAGAGGACTCAGCAGGTTGCAGTGATTGTCACATGCTTCAAAGAGAATAATTTAAACACAAGTAAATGATATTTAATCCATCTTGCACCATCTCATGTTGTGGAGATGTAAAAAATGAGGAGCAAGGTGACTCAGCTGTGACTCAGGCCTGAACCTGTTTCCTGTGAACCTGTCCAGACATCAAACAATCTTGAAATTTAACACATGCTAGCTATATTGATCTGCACGCACTTGTCAGGCCCTGTAAGGGCCTATGACTCTTTCTTCACCAAAGTGTGTGTGTAAAGTTTAAGTGCGAGGGCGTAGTTCTTACAGAAGGTAATCCTAATTTTGAAACATGTCATTAAAATAGTTGTATCAAAGATGTTTATCTTCCCGTTCAATCACAACCATCACTGCAGGGTCACCGGACACTTGGATAATGAGATTTTAATGTTTTCACAGAAAGCTCAGATTTGCATATGCTTTGTAATTCTGGGATTCTTGCCATCAAGGATTAAATAGACTTCCTCTGGCTACATTTTATTGTCTTTTAACACATGCCGTCTACTTGCAGCAAATAGAGCCTAGAGCACAAGAAGTGCAGTGCCTTAAAGGATGCAGTCAAAGTGCAGTGCTTTCTAACAAACCCCAGAGTGTCCATTTCCCTCTTTTGCCCAGAAACTGCTGACCTGAAAGGTGGGAGCCAACAAACACACACTTGTTTTGCTGGCTGCAACGGGACTAAACTCCCCTGTAGGTAGATTTCCCTCACTGTGAGTCATCGTCAAGCTATTCCAGGTGCTCACTGCCACTCTTTGGATTGAGCCAGGTGGCTCCAGGGCTCTTCAATCTCACTGATAAACAGGTGCAGCCATGAGGATATAAACCACAGACACAGGTCCACCAATACTGTAGAAACCTCAGCCATGACCTAATGTGGAGCAACATCACAAGCAGCAGGTCCTATTAATCAGATCATTTACCTCATAAAAGCAAAGTGCCATCAGGAGGGTACTCTAAACCCCAACGCTGCTGAAAGCGGAGCTGTTTATCCTCACCGTTATTTGGAGAATCTTCCATTCCATGGGCACCATTTTATCATACTGCTGAGGGGAAAAAACCAGGACCGCATAGTGGCAATTAGCTTCATAATCTCACAAGGTTTCCTATTTACAACAACAATTAACTGCACAAGTGATTTCTCAACAACAACAAGTTTTTATCCAACATGAATATTTGATTCGGCCTTTGTGATGATAACAGGAAGAGAAAGGGAGGAGAAGGAGCAGGAACTCATTTGCTTTAAAGCATATGGCAATTAGAGGATGTGTTAAGGAATGTGAGATCAAATATTTGTTAGGTGTGGAGACTGGTAATAGTCACACACTGTTCTGCTTATCTGTAGATGCCAAATGCAGGTAAGATGCCCTGTGGGTGTCTTTGCATTCAGATTAAAAAAGTCTGCTCTCAGAGATGCTGTGAAGATTAAATGTGAGTTGTTCTGTCTCAAGAGCCAATATATTTGAGACCTAAATTTAGTTGTTTGTCATATTTAGTGCAAGAAAAAGCAAGATTTTATCATTTTGGTTGTGAAATATTGTGATGATAAGGTGACATTTGTTTTTCACTTTTCCCCACAGTCAACAAAAATGAACGTATCTGAGGCCTAATTAAATCAGTAATCACAATCAATGTAAATTAGGGCTATAATCAAAAAAATAGCTTTAGTATTGATTAATGTGCTGATTATTTCTACAAAGAAGTGATTCATCTTTATCTAAAAGTGTCAGAAGATGATGAAAAAATGCTTAATTTCCCCTCAGTCCAAGGTGTTGTGTTCAAATTGCCTGTTTCATTGGACTGTCACTTCAAAGACGCTCAGTTTCCTCTTGAAAAAGAGAATATCTGGCAAATGACTAAAATCATTGATGAATTATCAGTGCAGATGTCATTTATAATCTGTTTGATTCACCAGGTAACATCGCAGCTTTAGCACAAATAAAATAAGGTTTTATCTTCTTTACTTTAACTGTGTATTCATTTCCTTTGGCAGCCCATCCTTTTGATTTTTTACTATCGCGAAGGCCTGAAATTGTAATACTCTTTATTGTATCACATATACAGTATGTATAATATCACACATAAAATAAATGTCCTCACTCTACACATATAATTGCCAAGGGTAACATAATAATCCAGAGCATCCACAGAGAACAGTGTGCTAGATGTAAAGCAGGGCACAATTCTTAGAAACGTGCTGACTTTACAAGGGATCAGGGAGTATGAATCCTTTATGACCATCAAGTGGAACAAATGAAATTAGGGCGTCCTCAGAGGTCTGGTTGTTTGGGCTAGCTGGGAAGTGATCCCCAGCCCTCCTCACTAGCCCCGCCAGATCAGAAAGGAGGTGATTTGTGTATTCCCCTTTACTCTGACCGCCTGGAGGAATGTTTGCTTGTTTATTGAGCTCCTGCATCCTGTTAAGGACCATTCCTTTTAATTCCTCTTGTCTCCTTCATTGACCGGGTAGCTCCTTAGAACGGTGCTGCTTTTCAGCTGGATGTTCATATTCTCCAGATAATACCCTTCTCCTCTAATTGTGCAGCATCCTTTGCACTCCTTTTGTTGATAAATTGGATTCGTGCAGATCGAGCCAGTGTAATTTAATCAACAGGGAGGATGAATCCTTTTGAAGCTTTGCTGTGTCTTATAGTCTTGTGTATTGATCTCATCAGAGTTAAAAGGGTTAATGTAAAGAGACAAAACAGTTTTTTAAAAACTGAAGGAATCTCATTAAGAAAAAATAAGGAGATGACCGCCTGTTTGAGGTGTGGCAGATCGCAGCCATGCAAAGGAGGATGGTGGCTGGCCCTCCATGTAGGTCAGAAATGATTACGCGCACTGAAGTGATGAGTCCAGCTGAGGCAGACGAGGCTGTGTTGTCTTAATCAATAGGTCTGCGGCCTCCTTTTGTTGCCTGCTTGCTGAGCAGAGGTCTGTTGTCAAAGTATCCTTTGCTTGATTGTATTTCCTCATTAAGGTTCAGCCCACTAAACCCGGTGATCACAGCTGTAAAAGATCATCTCTGTCAACAACAGGGGCCTTCAACAAATGACTGATTTGATTGAAAATTGTCCCTTTTTATAAAAGGCTATCATCCTCTAACAATTAAATGTTAAATCAGTACCTGTCCAGCTTTGATAAGCAGTATATAAATGATCAGCAAATGGAGAACAGAAGACACCATATTGTGGCTTTAAGAAGAGCTAAGGTTAGTTTAAGTGTTAATTTATGCACTGGCAGAGAGCAGTAACTAGAGAAGCAGTAAAGCTGAGAAAAAAGTGTTTAAATATTTTAGGCTGGCTGAGAAACTATACAACAGATAGCCGAGAGAGGTTGTAGTCTTCTTTTTATTGATATTCTAGGCTGATTATTTCCCCCCAGAGATAATGTTGCTATATACTGTATTACATAATATCTAAAGCATGCAGACAATGCACCCTGCCTTTGGATAATCTTTGCCTTCTTGTCTATTTTACAACTTTTTAAAAAGAAAATCAACTCCATTTAGACTATGTTACTTCCACAGTTCATTTTGCTAGGTGTCGTTTGTACAAAGTTAATAGAATAAATTATTCTACTGACTCTTGACAACAGCATCTGCGGTGTATTAATAAATATATCAGGAATGTTAATCTGTTATTGATTATTCATTAACTGTTACACTCCAGCTACAAATAGGAGGGGTTAAAGTTGTACAAAAGACATGTACAGTATCCTTTTATCTTCTTAAATACAACCACACTATGATGATGCTTTTTATCTGAAATAGGGAAGTTTGTAGTGTTACCTGACAAACCTGTGTGGACTGATGTTGGCTGTTTATCTTGTGAAATTGCAATTAATTTCACTTTGCATGGACAGTCTGAGTCACTTCTGACAGTACGGCCATGTCTTTCCTATTTGAAACTAATTTTTGAGAACATTCAGTTAAGTATTGAGTCTCACCATATACGTACAAGAAGAACTGTATGTGTAAACCGTGAAAAGGTGACTATGTAACCACATTATTTCCTACTCAGCTACACATATGTCAGTTCTGATTTTACCTCATTCAATATGCAACTCTCCAGAGGCGAGTCCTGTTCCTCCACATCCCTCAGGAATATAGTCAATTCAGGCAGATTATATTTTTGCAGAGTCATGGACATGATGATGTACGGTCATTAGTCTTATCAAGTAATATTCTGACAGGGAACTCTGAATGGCTGTCAGCCTCACAAAGTTGTGCAGGAGACTGGAAATTTGATGTGAAGCTGCTGTCACACTAAGTGGGGAGAACTTGCTTTTAATTTGAATAATGATGATGACATTCTTTGAAAAGCAGATGAAGCAAATTGCTCATTTTTAATCCTTTTAGACCTCAGAGCTGCCTTTGACAATGTTGATCATCCCATTTAAATTTGAATGCCATGAGCTCTGGGTGGCATTACCTGCCCTGCGCTTCACTGATTCATCTCTCTCTTCTCAAACAGAAACTTTTATTTTACGAGTGGAAACTTGTCTTTCTTTTGTGCGAACATCCAATCTGGAGTTCCTCGAGGCTCTAGTTGTGAGCTAACCTCTTTTTAAAACATGCTTTCACCTAGGCTATATGATGATGTTACAGCCTAATTATCCAAACAGTCATTTCATACCAGACAACTGCTTTAAACTCTTCAGGAATTGGATGTCAGCAGTTTTTAGCCACACTAGCACGCTGGCTTTGGGATTCACAGCGTCCACCACTTTGGTTGGAACAACTGAATGGATTGCCATGCGGTTCTGTACCCACATTCATGGTCTCCAGAGGATAGATCTTAATGACTCTGGTGATTTGTTTCATTTGTGGTCTTGAGTGAAATGTCTCC